AGAAGGGCAGCATGGCGGAAGCACTCCGAGATCTGGTAGACATCTTGGAGATTTTCGGGTGCCACTTGATATGCCGACGAGGAAGTCCGTGGCGTGACGTAGGTAGTAGAGTTCCACGTCATTGTAGACGCAGATAAGGGTGGAGATAGGCAAGATGCCTGAGTAGGTGGATCAAATCGCCAGGATTCGAGTCGCTGCCTGAGCGAATACCACTCTGTCCAGAATTCTGGAGAGGAAGGACGACGGCATGAGTCACTGCTTTGCGGCGGTGTAGGAAGAGAAAATCCATATTCCGACACCGAGCCCATTCTTGGGTTGGGCGCAACTGTTTCCCATCCCGGGAACAGCATATTAGGAGGCAGGGATGAAGTGGAGACAGCAGCGTCCTTTGGGCGTGACAGATTGGGCTTCTGATCCTGACTGAGAAGATTCAAACGTCCCAGCTGAGAAATTAGCTTGAACAGACGACCATCACAGCCGGCCAGATTTTCCAGACCCCATTCTCCATCGGTTATGGAGCTGATCTCCAAACACGTTCCGCGGAGTTGCACATCACGGTCATTTGTAGTTGCCGTCAATGTATCAAACCATGAGAACATGCGGATGAACCATTTGAGGTCATCTGTTACGACACGGGAATGGCGCATTCGGATCGCAAGTAGTCTTGTTACTCCAGCAAATTGTTCACGGAAGCTGGCAACACCAGTATCACAGCCGTGGAAAAGACAGAGCATTAACAAAGTTGCCAGTACGGAGTCCGACAATCTCCGGCGAGGGTCGGCCAAATCGGCATTCAAAGCCTTGACGGCCATCCCTCGATGGTGATTTTCTTCTCTGATATACCCTTCGACCATTGAAATGCCATATCGATCTTGGAAATCTTCATCGGTGAGGGCGCGGTGAGCCATTGATGACATACGTGCCGGCAAAGTTCGTTCCGTGGAGAGGTGATTGTGTTCTCGCCTCTGGCGCAAGTTGCTCGTAGCCAACGTTGCAATAGCCTCCTGCAAAGCCTCGCTCTCCATCGCCAAGCGTATAACATGAGTCCGGAATGGGTTTGTTGGGGTATCGAAGGCAACAATCATGGGAGCAATGACTTCGGCGTAGTAACTGATGAGATAACGAATACGTGGGGTCCGTCCCACAGATCGAGCTAAAAGGAGCTGAGAGAGTGACGGAGAATGGGCAGCATTCCAAAGTACATGATAATTAGGGTCCTGTTTGACATCCTCCTCATCTTTGTCTTGTGACGTTGGGGGAGTAGCGGCATGACATGGGTATGGGACTGCAGTCGGCCAACCCAGAGAGCCAGATTTAGACGGCGGGGTTTGAATGGGAGCATATAGCAATGGTGGCTCCGGCGTCATACCCTGACTCGTATTATTTCGAATCATCGGTCGACTTGGTATCGGAAGACCTGAAATCGCAGGCGGAGCAGCAAGCGTGCTCGACCAGGTCTGTGGATCTGGCATGTCCATTGCCCAAGCCATGTTTGAAGACATGTCGAAGGCAGCTGGCAGTATGGGCGGACTATCTTCTAGTTTCACACTCGGCGTTCTTGCACCAAACGATGCCATTGCAGGGCCGGTTGACGGAGGTATCGGGGCCGAAGCATACCCCGGGGGCCAAGAAGACGGTCCGCTACTACTTGAGGCCTCGGGCTGTGATTTTGCAGTATTTCCCGACGATTGCCCTTTCGATTCCATCACCGGGAGCTTCTGGCCCCGGAGTTTCCCTCGACTTGCGACTCCAACACCCCATGTCAACGTTGTCTTGTATCCGGAACACTCGCGGCCCAGGTCGAGGCACTGAGAGCAATAGGGTCGGCGCCGGTCACATCGTGCTCCTCGCTTGGAGCAGGCAAAGCAGTCGTCTGGGGCTCCGCTAACCACAGTTCTCTTGCGGCGTTTTCGAATTGGAGCGTTCGGGTCGGTCTTGCGGGATTTTCCCTTGGGCGCGGGGTCTGGCGCGGGACGATCTGCATTATCGGAGGCCATCTTGGACGGGCGTGGGCAATGCCCGCATGGAGTCCATTCGTTAAAACCGAAAGACCTGTTCGATTGGAGTAAGAGGTGTTCACCGGGGGTATTACTCGGTTTGGGGGTGATGATTGGTAATGGGGGCGGAAATATAAAATCCCACGTAATCAGTGGGTTTGAACAGGGTATTCGGGGGGCTAAGGTATATTTAAATAATGATAGACTCTCTCCGAGTCCGCAGACTGAAAAAGAAGGAATAATATGACGGAGAAAGGGTGTTGGGGGGTGGATATGGGATCTCCCGGTGGAGGCTGATCCGCGCTTTAGTCGTTTAGGAAGAACTGAAGTGGATTGGGGCGCTTTGTCGAAAGGCAAATCATGAAATTGTTAATCTGATTGGAATAGAATCACTCAAGGTTTCACATGTGTTTTGATTCGATCTTGTTCCATATTTGCCTTGTTGACCTTGTGCTATTTACCAGGCCTCGGCTTCAATCAGCTTCAATGTGTGGAATCGGGGGATTTCACGAGTGATCTCGTGCCTCATGATTGAATGCCTTCAAGGATTCAATACAATGATACACATATAAACTGTATCAATGCCGGTGCATCAACTTGTGGGTTATGTACAGAGTACAAAGGGAACATATGAGTGTTGTCATGTTGCCAAGCCCAGTGGGCTAATCTTCTTTCCGCCAAACCCAAACTCCCTGGAACAATGCGCCACAGCTCTGCAACCACAATCATCCTGCTCTATCAATCGGGCAATATATATGCACCTTTTATTTTGCTTCTTCCTTGACTTGGTAAACAAAGGTCGATCGGCGTGGCCGTGCGCCGCTCCATGAACCCCTGGATCAAAGCGCAGTTGCCCAGACTATCTAGCAATAATGAGTGCTTTTCGACCTGCACGAGCGAAAGCGCTCGTGCTAGCAATGCTCACTTTGATTCTAGTGTGCACTGTCTATTTTTACTGGTCCCCGACCACGGCGTCCTCCACCGTCTCACTGGTCCCAAACACAGCATTCGAGGTCCCCCTCACGGAACGCCAGAAGGACTTCTGGAAAGTCCTACGACCTATAATTGAACGTCATGAACCGAAGTGCCCTTCCCCAGAAAAGCGAGGCGATGTTGAAGCGCAGCACTTTGACCCCAACAAAAATCAGCCGCGACCCGACCTGACGGGCCTGAGCGAGGAACATGTACGCAAGATGGAAGAAGCTCATGCTGCCTTCATCGAGGATATCAAGAAGTCGGACAAGGCGTTGAAGCCAATTCATACTCCAGGCAAACGAGGACTAGTATCGACAGCTGGTGCTACGTACCTCCCTGTTTTCGTCTCATCGCTGCGGATGCTCCGCCGCGCGGGATCAAAGCTGCCGGTTGAACTCTTCATGAAGGATGCCACCGAACACGAGAAACATATCTGCAACGATGTGCTTCCCAAACTCGATGCGCGGTGCTTGATACTGGCTGATGTGGTGGGTAAAAACGTCATTGAACACTATCAACTCAAGATCTTTGCCGTTATTTTCTCATCTTTCGAAGAGATTGTCTGGATGGATGCCGACTGTTTCCCTCTTGGCAAACCCGAGGACCTGCTCGATTCTGAGCCATTCAAAACCAATGGTCTTGTCACATGGCCAGATTTCTGGGCTTCATCCGCGTCTCCGTTATACTATAAGATTTCACGCCAAGAGGCACCGTCCATGGCTGCCAGACAGTCGTCAGAAACAGGGGTATTCTTAGTCTCTAAGAAGACTCACTCTCTGGCTCTCTTGCTGGCGGCATATTATAACTTTTACGGCCCCTCACATTATTTCCGCTTGTTAAGCCAAGGAGGACCTGGCGAGGGAGACAAGGAAACCTTTATTCAGGCTGCCTCTGCTGTAGGCGCGCCTTTCTACACGGTCAGTGAGAGGGTGCAAGCCATTGGACACGCGACTGCGGACGGGCTGTCTGGGTCAGCTATGGCACAGTCAGATCCGCGCGAGGATTTTGCCTTAATCCAGCAAGATAAGCGGCGTGTAAAAGACGAATCCGTTGCCCCCGCGCCGCACATCTTCTTCATTCACGCAAACTATCCCAAATTCAATCCCGGTGACCAGATTTTCGGCATGGGATGGGAAACAACTCCTACCTTGAAGGAGGACGGCTCAGATGGACGCGCCTGGACGGCACCCCCAGAGACCATCAAGCGATTTGGATACGATGTCGAAAAGGCTTATTGGGAGGAGATCAAATGGGTGAGCTGCCATCTCGAAACAGCGTTCAAAACATGGGAGAACAAACTGGGCCTGTGTCAAAGAGTCCAGGAATATTGGGGCCATGTCTTTGCTGAACCGCATGACGACGACCCCAAGTTTACTCCGGATGGCTAATCTCAGGTTTCACGGTACATTTTGTGCCTTGGGCCGCCCCTCGGCTTACCCAGCCTCCCCTCCCTCCCACACGGGACTCCGGTGTTTTGGCTTAAATCCGACTACACTCCGGATATACGCACGCCTCCCATTGACTTCAGTGCCAGCGGTGATGAGCACTGTCTTGGTTGGTCTTCGATCACCCAAGCCATTTTCTTTGGTTCAAGAAGCCAGTCAACCTATTGGAAAAGTTGTAGGTACCTGATGCCTGTTTCTTTGGATTTTGATAGACTGTCGATAATTCGTCTTGTATAATAACTCGGCCCTTGAAATCTCGGGCCTCGTAATAGCACATAATCTTGTTTAGAAAGCCGATCTCATGATATATAAACGGTATATCTAGATTTGAACCCATTCCACCGCTTGATCTAGATTACAGCTATACAAGCTACATATTTCCAACACCAATTTGTACAGCCTATCCTCAATGTTTGTATTCATTCAGTGGCCTCGTTACTCATTCAGAAGAACGTCGACCAGATATCATTATTATCATACATCATGTCCCAACACCGACCGCTCCATCTCTGGCTGAATATTCAATTCCAATCAGAAGACATGAGAGATTATTTCGTAACGTCGAAAACCAGCATTAACAAATTTACTTCTTAATGCCCTTTTCCTGCAGACGCTGCTCATCATCAGCCTTGAGCTCGGCATCAATCTGAGCGCCCTTGGAAGGAGCATTGCCATGCGTCACAGCCTGTATTGAAACCAACATTAGTAAATGCACCCCGATCAATGCTCATACCATGAATACTTACGGGCTTAGTGGGATCTTGCTTGCTCAACTCGGCCTCGGCGTCGTACTCGTTGTGCCGGTGGTGCGTGGTACCAATCTTTGTCTCTTGGGAGGCAAGCTTATTGGCAATGGTGCGGCCATCTTTGGAATCAAGGTTCTTGTGGCTTTGAGGCATACCCTCGGCGTAACGAGCGCGCTCTTGGAGCTCGGAAACAGGGACATTGCGCTGGTCGCCTGCCTCGTAGATACTGCGGTTTCCGACGCTGGACTGGCCTGAGCCTGAAAGTGATGACATATTGTGTAGATGTAGAGTAGATTTGGGGTTTGTTGAGAGTTGAGGGTATGGAAGAAGTAGGGTTGAATGGAAGGAGCTTGGTTTCCTTTACTATTGGAGAGGCTCTTATACATACTTGCCTCGTTTGTGATGTCATTCTGGGGTCACTGAGATCATGGTGGGTCATTGCCCAGTTTGAAGGCAAAGATCCCTGTTGGCCCTATAAGTTTCTTGTGTGGTCTGGATGATTCCTTGTTCTGATTTGGCTAGATTACAAGACAGCATGGATGTTGGATTGGTCTATGACATTGTTGATGCTTTAGGGTTTCATTTGTTAGCTCCCGCCCCACTTTTATACTTGTTCTTGTAGAGTTATAGATATAGTACCTGTAAATGATTTATCTATGACCTAGCTAGTATGATTTAAGTGTATATCTTTATATTGAATTCAATAAATTCATTTTGGACATTACTTTCGTGGACGTGGATGATGTATGCAGCTCATATATACATGTCTTTCTGAAGTAGGAATACTTCCAAAATCTAAGGTAGCATCAAAACATTCTTTATGATATTTCAACACGAGGGTTCAACTTCCCTAAAAAAAATAATATTTGAAGCTTTATACAACATCCTATAGATATCATACAAAATGATTTGAATCTGCAGTGACCCACTTCAACCGTCGGAGTTCACTGCGATTGAAGAAGAGATCACAACTTTACGTTGCATTTGACGCTGTGCAATATACGCCATGTTCTCTCGATTACCAATCCGAGCTAAGCTGCTAAAGCCCAAATCAATCATTTCAATTCTTTTACCATACCAACCGCCAAGAACAATGAGTTTTTCCACCGCCACAGCGGAAGTCCAGCCCCGCTACCACCAACTTTTCACCGAGCTAGAGAACCGTTTCAAAACCACTAGTCTGGGCAATGACAAATGGTACATCCTAGCCATTTCCACACTAGTCGCCAGCCCAGATCCTGAGCGAGCAGACCAGCTCTACCTTCACCTCACCCAGCAAGCAGACTATGCAACCTCAGCAGCCCGGCAAGCCTTGATCCGCCGGCTGCGCGAGGCGCTCGTCAAATCCGTACCTATAGTCGGAGTATGCAAGCCCATTGAGGCAATTCTGGCCATCAGTGAGGTCGAACGCGACGAAGACAAGGATTACACCTTCACTCGCGAGGGTTGGCAATGCGACCAGGCCAACCACGAACGCGGCACTGGGTGGCTGCAGAAGCTGTACGCGCGTAACACGACAAACACCCTGGATTTGTTTAGTGCCCATAAGGACTTTTCTTGGCTGTCCAAGGAGATTACTTATGGGTTGTTTTTGTCCGATCGTCAGGTCTTGGATGATCTGGATACTCAGCTTGTTGTGCTGCCTGGTATCATGAGTCAAAATCTGCCTAAGGAGACTCATTGGCATATCCGTGGTACGAGGCGGATTGGTGTTCCCCAGGAGGAGGTCAAGGTTATTTGGGATTGTGTGCAGCTTGTTGCCCAGTTCTTTGATGTTAAGCTTCATAAAGTGCCGACCGTTGAAGCGGTTGAGTATGATGTTTAGATTTGGAGGCTTGGCTTAAAGATCAGCCATTTTCGGGTTTGATATATTATAATTCCGTAGTATATGAACATACATTCCTACGAAGCTTGATTTACTCTGATTTCTGTACTTTAGTTCTGTATTGTTGGTTTGGTCTGTCTGTATATATCTTAGGTACAGGTATCAACCGACCTTTGCACAGCTTGTCAATGAAGCCCCATATACTAACAGGTCTTCTCAAGATTCCAAAATAATGCAATAGAGCCTATCATAGAGCACGGAAACCAATTAGCAGCCCTAACCCCTGGTGCACCTGGGCAGGGTCAACAATGACCTATATCCGCGATAACAACCGATAAGGAAAAAAAGTTCGCAAACGGCCGAGCGCGGGGCGAAGATCAACTTTTGAACTTCAATTCTACCCAATCCCAGAAAAACATACAATCAACACAATATGGTTAAGCGGAAAGAACTCGGTGATGTCACCATGGGCGGCACAAAGCCAGAGGAGTCCGACTCCGACGAGGTTAGACTTGCACCCTAGACTGTGTGCCGTCGGATTGCTAACAATAATGACAGGACATGGACATGGTCAATGTAGACTTTGAATGGTTCGACCCTCAGCCTATCGATTTCCACGGCCTGAAGAACCTCCTGCGCCAGCTGTTCGACAACGATGCTCAAATGTTCGACATGTCCGCGCTGGCCGATTTGATTCTGTCCCAGCCAACATTGGGATCGACCGTGAAGGTTGATGGACATGAATCGGATCCCTACGCATTCTTGTCAATTCTTAATCTGCAGGAACACAAGGTTCGCAATTTCCCACTCTTCCTCTCTTCGTTGTACTGATGTTCTGTTCCCAGGACAAACCCGTCATCCAGGACCTGATCAACTACCTCAAGACCAAAACCGCCTCCAACCAGTCCCTCGCTCCCGCTGCCCAGCTCCTTTCCCAAAACCCCATCCCTCCCATCGGTCTCATTCTGACCGAGCGGCTGATCAACATGCCGTCCGAGATCGTCCCTCCCATGTACAACATGCTCCAGGAAGAGATTGCCTGGGCTGTTGAGGACAAGGAACCCTACACCTTCTCGCACTACCTGGTCCTCTCAAAGAACTACGAGGAAGTAGAGTCGAAGCTTGACCAGGAAGAGTCCCGGCCTCAGAAGAAGAAGAAGAAGGGTGGTGAGCAGGCCGAGCGCTTCTTCTTCCACCCCGAAGACGAGGTTGTGGAGCGTCATGCTCTGTGTGCTGGCTCTATTGATTACACCCATAAGTCCGATGAAGGCCACTCGGACTCCAAGCGCGCGTTCCAGGAGCTGGGTATCCGGACGAAAGGTAGCTTGATTTTGATCGAGGCGGCCCAGTTTGAGCCTATGGTTAAGGCTCTTACGCAATATATGTCGTAGTTAATGTTAAGACTTTGTAGTCTGATGCATTTGATGTCCATTTACGACAAAATCTATTCAATGCTAGCCTTATCTTGGTTTTGGCTTGGACTCCTTGTATATTCTAAGGATGGGGGTTGCGTGGGCCACATAATTCGCATAATTTTCATAAATGTTGAGGTTCAATGCATTGATCGTATCGTGAGCTCACCTATGTTAACTCCTTATTCCCATTGCGTGCCCTTGAGTCTCTGCATGAGGTACTCGACCTCGACAATTTTGGTCAATGGGATGACGCATTCCTGTAAAGTAGCACATGTCAGCGAATCATTTACCCAAAAGTAAAAATTGAAATGTTTCGTACCTTGTACATAGCAACGACAGCATCAATGTTAATCTTGGGACCATTCTTCTCGTCAGGTAAAGCAGGGTCAGTGCCGTAAGTTTTGGCCTTGAGACCGAGACGCTCAAGAACCTTCAGCTCAACTGCAGAATTGGTAATAGCAGCATCAATTCCGGCCCGATCCTCAGCCTTAATCAGACGCACAAAAGTTTCAGGATCCTTCTGGAACTTCGACTCAGCAACGAACTTTCCGAAATGAATGCGGCGGGACAACGCCTGCAAGCAAGCAACGTCGCAGGTCGCCGCGGAGCCGTAGTTCTCCTGTGTTTCTCCACGGTCCTCCCGTCCAAACGTGGGGCACACTGTTGGCAAGACTTCTTTGATGTACCGCTCCTTGATCACATCGTTGACGCAGACATCGTTCTCATGCAGGATGGGCGGGTATTTGAGCGGCTGCAAGATCGGTTCCTCAAGCACGTCCGGAAAGAAGGGGTACTCGTCGGGCGATTGGTAGCGGCGTACTCGGGACTGGACGCGCTCTTGTTCGCGGAGAAGGTAGTCGAGCAGACTGAGCTCGCTGTTAGGAATCTTAACGCCGCCGGGGGCGTAGATGGTCTTGTTCAGCGGGAATTGAACCCGCTCAATCATATGGAAGGTAATTGTGTCTTCCATTCGACTGAAACCTATGATATTAGCAAGCAGTTCTCATTGTGCTTCGCATGGATATAGTGCATGAAGGTTATGGCGGGGGTGGGGAAGTGGAAAGACTTTCAACTGAGGAGAGAGCTCACATCAACTGGAAACGAATGTTAGCAAGGTCCAATGCCTTGGAGGCATCGGAGAGATCAATGGCGGCATCCATAGCTTGAAATGTGGTGAGGTGTAGATGGAGAGAGCGGGACTGCAAAAGTCGGATACTTTGAAGCCCACTCCGCTCATCCTTCCCATTTATACTAGAAAATTAGGGGGAACAAACAAATGTGGTGTGTCAGAAGCTCTCATCATAGTCATATGCAGAGTTACCAATTTATAAATAGAAAAGCCGGTGAAAATGCACTATGAGTCTTCCAATGGTCTGGTCTATGATTTATTAGATTTCGGTACTTTTGGACATGCGACCGAGGTGCAGGAACACCACAATCTAAAATCAACACACTTGAACATCCTTGCATCTCGGTCAATATTGGAACCCAAATTCGGACTGTTGAAAAGCGAAAGCTGTGCTGGTTTCAGCCTGTGAAAGTACCACACGGCAGAACCCGGGGAACGCGGTAAACTCGCGTGGGACACCAAGTCTCCTACTTCCACCTACCGCAAGCTTCCCAACTTTCCCCTCCTCGTATCGCATGGGTTTTGGCTGAGCGCATGAAACCCTTGGCCTCATGGAGAACCAGCGCGACCACTCGCCGTCAGGCCTGTCAGATATCGTCGAGGGCGATGGCCTTCTGGGCACCGGTTTAACGGTAGGCTTTTTCTCACCCTCCGATGACGCCCCCCCACCAAACTGCAGGCTGATTGGATTTCATCTGCGGTGATTGCAGTCTCGTCACATCGAAGCTTTCGGACGAAAAGTCACAACGACCGCAGGACACCTGATGGGACCGGGCGAACAACATACTGCCCACTTGAACCATGCTATGACCGACATCCACCGCGAGCTACGGCGACCGACCACACAGCGCAAGGTGTTCTCCCTAGCACAAACAACACCAACCGATCTTGTCCGCTCAAAGCTTTCAACATCCGAGATCCAGTCCCGTGCCCTTTCCTCCCTCCCCGATGACCTCCTCGCCAATATCCCTGAAGACACCAGCTCCTACTCCCTTTTCCAAGGCTTCCAGGCCTCCGTTCCAGACGATCAGCACGAGAAGAAGCGACACCGAAGGCGCAACTCCAAAGGGAAGCTTCTCAAGGATGTCGAGCGAGGTGGTACCTTGACTGCCGGCCCGGCCGGGTTAAAGGACCAGCGGAAATCGCTGAGTCGCAAGTTAGAGTTGATGGGAATTAGGAAGAATATGTGCAGTGCGGAGATCCATGAGATCGATAACAAGGTTGCCAACTTGCACAAAATGCGCAAGATTGTTCTCGATCGATTGGCTGGCTTGGAAATGGACGAAGCGGGATTGGAGCAAGAATGTGGGTTAACATATCGAGACAAACGCGACCATGAGGAGAAAAACTGATTAAGTTGGAACAGTGACGGATCTCGATAATAAGTTGGAAGATTTCCCAGAAGAGGAAGAATCACAGGATACACCAGTCCCGACACCGCGGTCAGACGGCCAGGATTCTGTTGAGTCGTCCGGAGATCCAGCGATGGACGCTTCGTTCATGTCAGAATCGATTTATGAGAAGCTCCCATCACCTTCACCGAAAAGTCTACGACATCGATCTAATCGTATGGAATCCTCCGGTCTAATACGCGAATCACAACTGACAGCTAATATAGGGAAACGGTCGATGCCGATTCTACATGAACACTTCGCCCCGGGGTCTTTGATCAAGGAAATAGAAGCGCACACCGATATGGTCACAGCTATTGACTTTGACTATCCATTTGGTACTATGGTCAGTGCTGCATTAGATGATACCGTGAGAGTTTGGGACATGAACGTCGGCCGATGCTCTGGTTTCTTGGAGGGACACAATGCCTCGGTTCGCTGCCTGCAAGTGGAGGATAACATCGTGGCTACGGGCTCCATGGATGCCTCTGTCAAGCTATGGGACCTGAGCCGTGCTCGTCCCGTGACCCGGGACGGTCGCCTCAACAAGCACGAGCGTGACCAAGAGGAGGGAGCCTTAGAACACAACTTCCCAGTACCGCCGTCCTCTAACCTTGAAGACTGCAATGTATTCTCGCTAGAGGCGCACGTCGATGAGGTGACAGCGCTTCATTTCAAGGGTGACACCCTCATTTCGGGCTCTGCGGACAAGACGCTCAGACAATGGGATCTAGTCAAAGGCCGCTGTGTCCAAACTCTGGACGTTTTGTGGGCATCTGCCCAGGCATCCTCGTCTATGATGGGAGACTCTGACTGGCGACCATCGGGTCGCATGCCCGATGTTTCGGCTGACTTTATTGGTGCAGTGCAATGCTTCGACGCTGCGCTAGCATGTGGTACAGCAGATGGCATGGTCCGCCTCTGGGATTTGCGCAGTGGTCATGTCCACCGGAGTCTTGTAGGACACACAGGGCCGGTCACATGTCTCCAATTTGACGATGTGCATCTGGTCACGGGTAGTCTCGATCGCAGTATTCGGGTAAGCACTCCAGTTTATTTTCCCCTTTCTCGCTTAGCCATTGTTTCTAATTGTTCATAGATATGGGATCTACGTATGGGCTCTATTTACGACGCTTATGCCTACGACAAGCCAATCACTGACATGATGTTCGATTCGAAACGAATCGTGGCCGCTGCTGGGGAGGGTGTGGTCAAGGTCTATGACAAGGCCGATGGCAACCACTGGGACTGCGGTCCAGGCGTTGGGCTTGACGATGACGGGCCATTCCCTGCGACCGTCGAGCGGGTCTGTCTCAAGGATGGCTACCTTGTGGAGGGACGTAAAGACGGTACTATGGCTGCCTGGACGTGCTAGACATGTAAGAACTGTTTTCTTTTAGAAGCGCACGCTTGGGGGGTCTCATCTTCTTTCACCTCAGCCTTTTTGCGACCGTTGTATAGTATTCAATCTATGTCTTAGTAGCGACCGGGCGAATCATGGACATGCCATGTTATTCTGTATACAGCATGAACAAAGTCCTTCAGGGAAAAGTGAAACAAAATAGTGTCAAGATCGTAGCAGTCCGAGGTGACAAAGAGATCTAACCAACAAAGACTATGGAAGTGAGACTTGTAGTTATAAAGAAATAGTAGAAATATAAAGAACACCTAATTCCAGAGTCCGATGTGCATATACTCAAAATTCGACAGTTGAAATTCTTCAGTTGATCTTCAGATCTTCAGTTGCGCGCCTCCACCCTTTTTCCCCCATATACTTTTCCCTCACTTACACCAACCTCCTGAGTCCTTCCCTCCGGATTCCTGGCAACCAAAAATCTAGACCGTCGTTGTTCTTGAAATAAAGTGAACAACTCCTCGACATCTTGTATCACCCTCGGGAGCTGGGAGCTGTAAGTCACGTTGCCGTCGCGTCTGCGCGTCTCACCGGGGTCGCGATCTACAGGCTTCGGACATCTACACACGCACGTTCGGGGTTTGCATTCTTAATCTGGTAAGTCTGAAATTGTTGTCGCTTTCTTTTTTCTTGCTTAATACTTGCGGTAATGGCTCTGGTTCGTCATACTAGCATGTTCCTTTCCTGTGAGAGACCATTTTCAGTTCATGTCGCATTATGTCTTGATACATGAACGTGTGGATGTTCTGTTTCAATGGCATTTCTAAGGTTTCGATTTATACATTGAGCATGTCTGGGATAATTTTGTTTTGTCTAGTCTAAAGCTAACATCTCAACTAGACACAAAACACCAAAGTATTATCTTTGCAATCCATTCTGAAGGCTAAAAGTGCAGATGGCACCCAAACGTGTTACACGCCGGGCTGGCGCGACTCCTTCACGACCACATATGGAGCCCGAATATGAGTCCATACTCGATCGTGTGCAAGCACCTGTTTTGCCCAGTATTCCAGTCCAAGCATCGTTCAACTATGGGGCTGCTACTACCACCGCATTGCCTCAACGCATGTCGATACGGCCCAACATTGGCATTGACCAAATGGCTGGAGCAGTCGATGCCCGTCTTGAGAATGCTCGGAGGCGAACAGCCGCTACGAAGAAGAAGCAAGGCACTCAAACCACTCAAACACGCAAGCGTGAGCCAACACCAGACGAAGCTCAGCTTCAGCAGTCGCTGGATAATGCAGCAGAACACTCTGATCAAACTCCTTCGCCTCCTGTTCCACACTCGGTATCTACGGATAGCCCTGACGCTCAACCCCCATTACAACGTCAGTTGTCGAACTCTCCGCTTTACCCATCGCCGCTTCAGCGAATGGGTTCTCCTCACATTAATAGTCCTATGAGTAGCTCACCATTCCGCCACAGCTCTGTTGATAATGCTTCTGTGGTATCTTGGAACCTGGAACGTGATATTAACGAAGATGACCTGCAAAGAACGCGGCCCAGCAAACATGGACGCAACATCACAGCGCCCCCTCGACGAGTTTCTGGCCTGGCTAATGTCCCCGAAGAGGACGAAGAAGAATATATCAAGTTTGAATCGGAAATATATCAAGATTTGGAACCCGATGTCCCCAAGGAAAGCTTTTTGCGTCGATGGCTAGCAGCAGTGAGGCCCCGACGTCGGGAACCTCAGATTAGCAACGAAACCACCAGCGAGGTACGCCGAAAAAGCTGGACGCAGACCATTCAAGCAGTGATGGAGGGCCCGTACCAAAATTGGATTCGGGCTGCGTTCTATTTGCTTTTGGTTCTGAGCTTTATTTTCGTCCCCCTGATCGCCGCGAAACTTCGCCACTATCTAGAACACGGTGCTCTGGATTGGGATTCCTCTTCGAACTTAAACATATCTAAACCGGAAGTTTTCCACAGCCTTCGGAGCCAGGTATCAAAAATGGACGTCCAAATGTCATCCTTGTCGAGCGAGCTCAGTTCTGTTCGGTCAGGACAGTCGCTTCCTAACGTTCATGATTCAACGCCCACAGACCCAAGCCTCCATCGGAAACCGGTCTACAAGGTGAATTTCCTCTCAGTGGCATTGGGGGCAATGATTGATCCAGCGAAAACTTCACCGACTTTGGGTTCCAAACAGAGCACTTCTTTGCGAGCACTCATCTGGGCGAGCTCGTTTGTATCCAGGCGCACAATTCGAGCTCCACAATCTCCAATTTCTGCCCTTACCACGTGGGAAGAGGTAGGCGACTGCTGGTGCAGTGCCCCTCGCAATGGAACAACCCAACTATCTGTACTCCTCGGCCGCGACATTGTGGCAGAAGAGTTGGTAGTTGAGCACATCCCCGTGGGCGCCTCTCTCGAACCAGATGCGGCACCTCGAACAATCGAGGTATGGGCTCGCTTCAAAGTCAACCCCCACAAGACACCGATCAAAGCCAAACCAACAGCTGAGGCCAGACCTGGCCGTGGCTTCCTGAAAGTTTTCGGTGACGCCACAGTGTCACAGCCGCCACCGCCAACTCAGGCCCCTTCATCCCGCGAAACAGGGCTTGGAGGATTCTTGATCCCTGGAATTGGTTCACTTCACGCGTTGGTGATGGATCTGTTGCGTCGGAGCAACCCCTTCGAACCTCCAAGCGCTTACTCAGACGACCCAATTCTCGGCCCCAACTTCTACCGCATCGGAAAAGTAGAATACGACCTCCACAGCCCAGACTACGCCCAGACATTCAAGCTCAACACCATCGTCGACGTGTCAACCATCCGTGTGGACATGGTTGTCTTTAGAGTGACTTCAAATTGGGGTGCCAATCACACATGCATCTACCGATTCAAGTTACACGGGCACCTCTAGGCCCGGATACAGACGTTCTTGAGCTTTGATTCGTCTTTTACAACTCTCTCATGTATTTACTTCCCAAGAGACCAGGTTCTGGCTGGTCTAGAATTTGGATAAAATGTGCTTTGCGATGATACCTTGCATGGCTGCGGCGGCGTTAGATGGTTTGTTTCTGCATGGTTTTCTTTTGGGTGGCCAGTACTCAACTTTTTTTCTTATTTATTTTTTAGAGCCATATCATATGATAACCATTTTTTTATTTCCGTCTGCTTCTCTCCTGGCGATTCGCTTTGCTAACAGCACTGTTGCCGTGCCTTTTTCGTTCTCGTACGTAGCCCATACTATACTGCAGTATACCATCAGTTGGTTGACCTCATCATACAGCCCCTTTCAATGGTAGATCAGTACGTTGTTCACCATATCTATACTGTCAATGATTATTACATGCTGACACGTCGGTCGTTCGTGTTGCCTTGCGTGATAGACCTATATATGGCGTTGGTTAATATAAGACGAGAGGATATTGGATGGACTTCCTACTTTCTTTCTTCCATTCACATCCGCCGACCCTTCACACAGTCCGGAGTTCATTATCACAGCTTATGTATATATCTCTTGTACTATACCCCAAGGCGCCTAGTTAATGGTACATGACCCCTGAGTTTCCCAGGCCTCTAATACTTCTAGTATGAACAAACTGTGTTGTCTTCCAGGCTGACACGTACAGGATCTATATAGTTGGGAAGTTTGAATGATGTTTTCTGTTTTCTTGTAGGCTATCTCTCTAAGCGCTTTCTCCGGTCTACCCGTTTCTTACAATCATATCTCGCAAGTTATAGTCCAACCAACACCGGAAACAGTAGTAACCGAAACAGTTGGGTATAGACTGCCAAACAAGTGGATGCTAACTTGCCACACAAATGTGATAGGGGATGTGATGCACTGTATACTATTCTATGTCAAAGACATGGGCTTTCTGGTTGATATCCTTTGAGCTGTATAAATGGAACTGCATCCTCTGGAGATTCTGGACATTTAACCCAGATTCCAATTTCTTCAAGACTTAGTTCAACTATCACCATCATGGATTCAGTGACGCGAAATACCTTATCTATGAAGTACCTGTGGACAGTCCCGCCGAAGACTTCGACTGACTGGGTAATTTCTGGTGACGGGCAGATGATGAAAAAGGAGGATGCAGTGGCCCGCATCAAGGAAATGGATGACACCTGCGTGCCATTCTTCACCAAAGAAAAGTTCCGAGAAATCGGGGAACAGCTAAAGAACGTTCGGAATGGAAGTAAAACAATCCAAGTGAAGAGTCTCACAGGCGCGGTTTTCGAAGCGACAGTGGATCTGAATAATCCTTATCTCTACAGGCTCTACAAAGATCCAGATCCTGAGCCAAAGGAATTTGTCAAGTGAGCTATCCACATCATGCTTGAATTACCTACTGGGAGACTTGTTGGAACACGAGCGCTAACACCGTCTAGCTTGGCAGTTACCATAGATTACATTCATCCAGAAAGACTCTTACAGTACATAGAAATCGAAAAGTCTGGAAGTGACATCTCAGCCAAGGGTCTTCTCATCCCCCTGCAAGTGGTGCACGAAGGATACCCGGTCAAAAGAGAGGACAAAACCCGGAAGCGTGATGATGTGGCCGAATCTTTCAACCACGCGAGAATAGCTTGGGAAGCCAGCGAGACCTGCAAGATATTCAAGTCGGTTTTGTCGAACAATGCCAGCGGTCACAAGATCAACAAAATTGTCGGGTTTGCTTGTGGTAGCCTGGCACAGAGCAGACTTAGAGCTGCCTTTCAGCACGCGTTGCTGGTTACCGCAAAGGAGTGGCTGGAAAATCGAGACAAGCAGCTTCAAGATGAGGCGCCCACTTTCTATCTGCAGGATCCGGACTACACCACCGTCGACGAGGAAATCCTAGCCAAGGATTTCGGTTTCAAAGTGGTTCCGGAGCCAGATGGGTTTGTCGAGGTCGATGAGCGGTCGATTGTGCTTTCCATAGCACCTACTGTATCCATCAAGTATATCATCGCGGGTATTGCTAGTCCTGCTATTGTGATCTGGCTTCCCATGGGAGAAGGAGAGGAAGCCGCGTGAGTGATTCCTGGACTGTTTTAATGTGTTCTATGACTTTTGATTCCAAAGCTAACATGTCCACTAGTCAAGATCCCAACACGCAGGGTGTTTTGAAAATGGCGACGGAATACAACAAGCATTCATTTACCGACAAGGAGGCACTTGGAAAGGAGAATTTTCAGCAAGCTGTGATCTATATCAGGAAGAAGAAGGATCTCAAAGTCAGGGAGGATTAACTTCTTTGGTCTGGATATTCTAGGCGTATTTCTTTACAGTTGGGAGTTTTGAAACATGTTTAAGCGCTTTCTCTCCAGTATTGTATAAGTTATACAAACCCTAGTAAAATGTGCTTTGGACCAACCCCGCACATGTGATGGATGCGCTGGCTTAGGCCAATGGCCATATCATGCCCTTGGAAGTATTCCCCTGAAAATAATTTACTTCTTTTCTAATTTTGACCTATACCGTCAATATGGGAGACACAAATAATTCCAAGCCTGTCGCGGCAAAAAAACCCCGGAAGTACGTAGCTGACTGGAGAATCCCCCATCGTCGCTCGGTTGAGCCTAGGGATATACCAACCTTAGAGGAGGCGAAGGCAATCATTGATAGACTCTACGAGTCCGGAGTGCCCTTTTTCACCAAAGAGTTAATCCAAGATATGTGGGATCAGACCAAGCGAGAACCAACCCCAGACAAGATAATTACGAAAGACATAACAGGCGCAACTGTTAGATGCAATGTGGAGATGGGAAGGGTTTGCCGAATGCGAGACGCAGAGGATGATACGGAATTGATGTATGTGTGGTGAGTACACGCCTAGTAACTATACTAGGGCGAGAGAACTGATATCGTCTTAGCAAAGACCTGGCCCTCAATTACAACTGTCGCGCACATCTTACGAACGAGATTGACCGGAGACATTTCTCGTTATCGCACTGGGAGCCCTGCTCGGTCATTATCATGCATAAGACACAGAAATTGGACTCCAAGACCAAGGAAATTGTTCCACAGCGTGGCCCCCTTGACCGTGAAGTGGTTGCGAAAATCTTCCACGACAAGACCCAAGAATGGAAAGAGAGCCCAGCCTGTGAAAAGCTCAAGACAATTTTGTCGTCGTCTGCAAAAGATCATGAGATTAACAAGGTCGTCGCATTTGCTCTTGGCACGATGTCCTTTCAACATTTCAATGAGGAGGGCATTCTAGATACTAGCTATGGGTGGCGATCTGCATTTCAGAATGCGCTCCTCGTTACCATAACTGAATGGCTGAAAGAAAGAGACCACAAAGAGAAAGTCCCATGCTACTCACAGGACCCGGCTCAGAGCGAAGTGGACAAGGAGATTCTGGATGAGGTAGGTATCGAGGTGGTTGATGATCCGCGTGGTTGGCTCGAAGTGGACGAGCAATCGGTAGTGTTCTCCGTAGCACCAAATGTGCCTGTGAAGGAGATTATTACGGACATCGCTCGACCAGCGATTATTATTTGGTGTCGAGTGAAATTCCTCGATGGACTTGATCAGAGATGGTGAGTATCATACCATCTTCTATCCCTCAATCTGCTAACCTCCTTAGCACGGATCCCGACTCTTCGCGAGTTAGAGCAATGATGGAAGGTTATGAACTGTATGAGTTTGGCCCTGATCAGAACATATTCTGTGATCTTGCGATCTATATCCGGAAGTTGGTTGCTGCCCCAACTCCTTCAGATGGAAGATTCTCCTAGTTTTTTATATTTATGCCTGAGGGACCAGGTGTCACGGACATATATATATGTCGTATACATTCTGAACAAGGATCATTCGAATGTTCCCGTATAGCCCGCGTACTTGCAGCTTCCCCTCATTCGAGAGAATTAAAATGAATATAATCTGATATCAAAGAGGGAAAAAAAAATAATTTTAAATAAATCATCTCATCTCCTATTGATTTCTGGTTGCGTAGGATATCCACCCCCCACATATCGAAAGGCGGAAGACCCTCGACTCGGGACCTTCATCTCTGGTCACGCGCCTTTCGTGCAGCCTATCCTCGTACCTACGCCCCCAATGGCCTCCGAGCGAGCGATCGATCGGGAAGAGAGACAAGGCCTTGTAAGTCTTTTCAACTTTTGCTTTTTCAAAGAGGGGGAAGACCCCTCTTTATATCCGACGTTGGACACTATGGGAATTGTGAACGTGTTGCATGGGTTCACCAGTCACCAGATCATCTGGGAATATCCAGATCTTGACTAACGCAAACAGCGTGCCATTCGTGATTTCCTCAAGGCCCGAAATTCCTACGATGTCCTCCCGCTCAGCTTCCGACTCATCATCTTCGATACGTCCCTTTCCGTCAAGGAGAGTCTGAACATTCTGATTCAAAACGGTACGTTCCTACGATTCCACCTTTGCTACAAAATTCACGAACTTTTCCAGCTGACCGCAAAACCCGGGAATCGGGAGGTACAGGCATCGTTTCAGCTCCGTTGTGGGACTCCAAAGCGTCCAAATTCGCAGGTCTTCTGACCACTTCCGACTACATCAATGTCATCCAATACTATTTCCAGAACCCCGCTGCGCTGGACCAGATCGATCAATTCCGCCTAGACAGTTTGCGAGGTGCGTTGGGCGACTCCCCACCGTGTCGCATTCCTGCAGGTACACCCCGCGGCTAACGGGAATATACAGATGTTGAAAAAGCGCTAGGCGTGGCACCGCCGGAGACCGTCTCCATCGACCCAGAGCGCCCTCTATACGATGCCTGTCGGCGCATGCTGGAATCGCGCGCCCGCCGTATCCCCCTTGTCACCAGCGATAGCCAGACCGAGCGGCCCCACGTTCTCAGCGTCATCACGCAATACCGAATCTTGAAATTCGTCGCTGTCAATGTCCCCGATACGCAGCAGCTGCGTCGTCCGCTAGGGGAGCTCTTGCTTGGATCGTATGATAACGTTGCCACGGCTTCGATGGATACCCCGGTCATTGATGTCATTCATATTTTGGTCGAGCGCAGCATATCTAGTGTGCCGATCGTGAACTCGGAAGGCGTGGTGTATAACGTATTCGAGTCGGTCGATGTTATTACTTTGATTAAAGGAGGTTTCTACGACGATTTAAGTCTCACAGTTGGGGAAGCTTTGAAGAAACGTTCTCCGGTATGTTGACTCCTGTTCCCCAGTGATATCCGTTCTGATACTTATCATTCTGCGCAGGGTTTCCCGGGTATCTATACATGTTCATTGAATGATGGTCTGGATACTATCTTCGATACTATCCGCAAATCCCGAGTACACCGTCTCGTCGTTGTGGATGAGCACTTCAAGCTCAAGGGCGTTCTGACTCTGAGTGATATTCTGCACTACATTCTTCTTGAGGGAGAGAATGAGGAAGCATGATCTTCCGAGCTGGATGTGATTTTTCCCCATACATATTTCGTTTTGCATGGTTCCGGCGTTTTGATCTGCCCTGAGGGAAACCTTGCAGATAACACCTGGGGACATATGGGCCCGGCGAGGTCATGACTGTTCTGGGCTTTTTTTTTTTTTTTTGATTTTGGGCTTTACGAATGTACAGAGGTAATGACATGTTTTCCAAAACCGGCTTTGTTTTTTTATTGCCGACTGGCACAGAAATAGAGGAAGATTTGAATGTCAATTTGAAGCATTATCTTAACTGTCTTTTCATTTTGATATTTAACTCGTATACGTGTAGTCTGTTTAGTAGTATTCCAAAGGTTCCAAATAGAAGGAAGACGTAGCTTCCTCATCTTAGTTCCTTCCATAAGACCCCAATCCAAGTCACAATACAGCCCCTTCAGGGTTATCCTTGTCCTTACTTCATCACCATCTCTTCCTCCCGTATACATTATCCAAACGTAATCATGCGGCTTCTTAAAACTGTATTCCGGTCCAGATCTGATCCACCCAACCCTGCTGCATCTCGTATTTGGCCACGACGGCATCCAGCGTCCGAGGGAGACGCATTGAAACCTCAACTAGAAGCTGCTTCGAATGAACTACAGCGCGATGAGCCGGCAACCGAAGCGGGGACCACCAGCGCTGATGCGAACAAGCCACCTTCCTCGGCAGTAGCCCTCGTTGACAATGCGGACCCTGAGTTGAATGCCCACATCCAAAATACTGGCGAGCTTCCTCGGTCCAAGAATGGCACGAGGCGTCTGAAGAAAGTGTATGCTCGCTTGCGGGGTAGCTTGTCCCAGGAGGATGATCCCATGAGGGATACACAGGTTGAACCCGCTCAGGAGGATACCCGTAAAGAGAGGCCGAGCTCCATACCTTTGTCCTCCAATCCATTTGAGCCAGATACTGCGCCCATTGCTGCCGTGGCTACCGTGGCTACCGTGGAGCCATCCACATCTGCTTGCAAGTCTGTCAGGTTCGACGAGCCCAAGGAGAGACGGAATGTCAGCGCTCAGACGACCAGTACCCAGGAGTCCAGCCAGACAGAGGATACTGTTTGCCGAGACCCTGCCCGGCACACGGCAATGCCCATCCAGGAACCTTTGGATGAGTGGGGATGGCCAGGACTGATGATATACGGCACTGATAGCAGCAGCAGCAACGGTAACAATCATATCCATGAGGCTTCGGACCCGTTCTCAGATGGGAAGGCCACCGACCGACAAGCGAAGGCGATAGCTCCCAGGCATAGTGCAGGCACGAGCCGAGAAGAATCGAGGACTTCTGAAGGGACACTGGAGCCTATTGCTGAGACTGATATGGACACAATCGAACAAGTTCTCGAACCAGCACAGCCCGAAGGTGCGAATGCTCAGATTTCAAGCTCGGCCAACAGTCAAACAAGTTGGACTACACTTGACGGGCCCAAGGCTATCTCGGCTTTCAATCAGATGGCATCTCAGTTTGGCATTCCCATTGCCATTCCAGTTGATAATTCTTCATGTACGTGTGTCTTTGCTTGTGCATGGATTGACACTGACTAGATTCTAGCAGCAGAGGGTAATCATGCTGAGGAAGGCGAGAGCCGTCGTGGATTTGGATTGTTGGGCAAAGTTCGCAAGGTGCGATCCAATTTAGCTCCCGACACAGCTCCTTTGGCACCGGCTCCAAAGCTTCGGCGAATGAAAACATTTGCAAACCTGCGCCGTCCCAGTCCAATGACTTCGTTGCAAGGAAGATCGATTGAGACTTTGGCCCGTCTTGGAGGACATGGTTATCTTATGCTCACGGACTTGGCGCCCTGTCCTGTGCAGCTACCCGCATACATTGTGGCAACGTTGATGTTTCTGCACAAATATGGTTGGTGGCGAACCTTTTTTTATTAAAATAAAAGAAGAAAAAAACGTCATAATATGGCTGACACGGGTTCCTGCAGGTCTGGACACTTCGCAGATCTTCATTCAGCCCGGAGATCTAAAAGCTGCCATTCGATTATATGATCATTTTGCTAGCCAAGTGCTTGAAGCGGAGAAAGATGAGTCTAAAATTTCCCTTACTATGCGTGTGGTTGCCATGCCACAGCTCCGTGAAGATTCGGCGCCTGTGCTGAGTGTGGCCTGGGCCCTTAAGGCCGTGCTGGCGGGGCTTCCAAACGGGATCCTCGGGAGTGTCCGGCTCTACCAAATTCTCAGGGCGATGTACTACCATTCGATACCAGAACAGTGTCATCTTCTCCGTGTGCCCGATTGTATCTCTGAGGCGAGCCCAACGACTGCCGCCCGAGTACAACTTATGTGTCTTGCGATCATAGCCCTTGCGACTGAAATGCAGCGTGATCTTATCTGTGCAGTATTTGGCTTACTTTCCTTACTGGTAAATGCGGAGACAGTCCAGCCCGGGATGGAGCTCCGTGATCCAGTGGCAAGTTCGAACTTCCACGATTTGGCACGGGTGTTTGGACCGCTCCTCCTCGGATCTAAACAAGACCGAGATGGAACCGAAGTGGAACAGGAGGTTGATGATCAACGGGTGGCAGGGCTGATGCTCTATAATTGGCATTTTGTGCACCGACAATTGCAATACTGGACAAGTGGGCGATACGCAGGGAAATAAAGTGGGTGACTCTGATTGGACTATTCTAGAAGTTGTATACTTCCAAGGATTTCTATATTTCCCAACCCTGTTTTTCCAGGGTTATTCTTCGACGGCTTTGAATCCTGTTGGATACCATTCGTTATGTTTTTCTTTTTTTCTTTTATTGTTATTGTTTAGGGATGTTTTAAGGGGGGGGAAGTTCTAGGTCCAAAGGGCTTTTATTAAACAGAGGGGGGGTCAAAATAAAATCCAACCTTTCCTTTACATTCCTTTCATAAAATCTCTCTCTCTTAGAAATTCATCCATTCGGATCTCCTGGACGGAATTCTTGTCCGACCGTGGAAGGACAATTTACCATCTTCAGGCACCTTTGACTTCAAACTTTTTGATTTCATTTTTAGGGTTATTAGGGCAAGAGCTCTTAACTTCTTAACGGAAATAACTTTCTCTTAAAAATGTCTAACCTCAAATCTGCAATGTCAGGTGTTTTACCTCAAGGCCTCACAGATATCAATCTCGGTCCATCGTTCACTTCCATCTCAGGTGATTTCTTAGGCCTCCCGATACAAGACGACGAACTTTGGGGTCTAAGCCCCGTCTCACCTATGGCGGGCTGGGATAAAGACTCGGCATTTGCCAATTCCGCGCTCGAACGAGACCTCAAAAACACCCAGGTTCGAAATGGTCAACCAACCCCACCTCCCTATGATGGTCGTGATCTCGGTCTAGACATGGAAAGCGCCAGCAAACGACGGCGCGTCCGCGAATACAAAACCGCCGCCGCTAGCCTCAGCCCGGACCTTGACGATGCCCCGCACGAACGCGCCAAGCGGGCCAAATTCCTCGAGCGCAATCGTCTCGCTGCTAGCAAGTGTCGCCAGAAGAAAAAAGAACATACTCAACAGCTGGAATTCAATTTCAAGGAACAGTCCGAGAAAAAGGAACAGCTTGTTGCCGAAATCGCACGCCTACGCTCCGAGATACTGGGTCTGAAGAATGAGGTCCTCAAACATGCTCAGTGTGGCGATGAACCCATTAAACTTCATCTCGCTCAGATGGTAAAGAGAATTACCGATAAAGATGGTGCGCCTTCTCTTGAGGAATCGCCAGTCAGAATTCATGATCATCCTTCCGTCTCCCCGCTTGAACCTACTCCGGTGACGACTTCCGTGCCTGTTTCTGCGCCTGCGCCCGCGGCTATGTCGTTTGGATTTGATGATCCTCTCCAGCTTGAGCCGGCTGCTGCGGCCGCCGCTGAGGCGTTCGAGCAACAGATGCGTCGTGAGTCGGAGGCTTCCCTTGTCTCTGAGGGGTCTTATTCATTCTCGGCGGAGGATACATTTGATGATTTGATCAATGTGTGAGGGTCAGGGATGTGATGTGATAACGACTTTATGCGGAGGTAATGGGGGCAGCAGGTCTGTCTTTTGAATGTGGATTTTTGAACTGCGATCCAGTGGGAACTGGAGGGTGTCTGGCGTTTTGATCCCTGAAACGGATCAACCTTTGATGTGATATTCGGTGTTTTTCTCTCTCTCGATTCTAGCTGCCTTAAGGGCGCTTGGCTAGGTGGATTGTTGCTGGCAATGGCCTTTTGTATTTTCTATTTTCTATGAATAACATGACAGATGGAAATGAAGTTTCTATCGTGCTGTTTTTATAATAACTAAACTAAGTCAAGACCGTCTAGTCGACATCCGATGCCATATCAACCTGCGCCAGCAGATCCATGCGACGCAGTACTTAGAGCCATGCTGATCAACCATCCAATTAGTCTCTCCGACTAGTCATCTCCTTCAGTAGTAAAGCACGTAATCTCCACATGTCCAAACAGCAAGAATGAACCCCTGTAATGTTCTGCTGGCCTCGAAAGACTCCATATAAAACCGGATTTGGGATCGAACGCAACAGGATCCATACGAGGGAAGATCTTAACTAAGGTAAGTAATGATACCAAGATATATTAGTGCCGATCATATAAATCCGCCATAAGCACCAAACAAGGGCTGTTCAATGTTTCCAACAAAAACAAGAAGCCCTGACAAGCAATCTCAAAAATTCCAATATCTACATAGTATCCCTCACATCCCTTATAATCCCCTTCTCATATCCCCCCTGTCCCCAAGTAACCAACTAACACCCCCAGTCAAATAGGAACTTGCCACTATCTATGTATCCTCCCCATAATCAGCCAATTATGAAATAGCTAATATGACCTTGTTAAGTATCTTGGTCTTTTGAATGCCTTAGATATTTTTCCCCTCTATTAGTGCTATATCAAGTGTAAGCTAAATATAGATAAAAACGGCTTGAAAGATGTACTTTTGTATAGTTCACTATTCTTTATATTGTAACGTCATTGGTTCTCCCCCTGGAGATCCCCGCATTTAGTGCCGATGGCCGATGGCCGATTGGCGACCCTTCATACATGCGTATGCTTGAGCTGCGAGATCTACATTTACGAGATCTCATATACCCCTCTCCCTCCCATAAATCTTCTCAATTCTTCATTCTCAACAATGGCAGCTAAACGCCCCAACTTCCTCGTTATAGTCGCCGATGACCTCGGTTTCTCCGATGTAGGTTGCTTCGGCGGAGAAATCCGGACTCCAAACATCGACCAAATCGCCAAAGAAGGCCTCCGATTCACCGATTTCCATGCAGCAGCAGCATGCTCGTAAGTGCAGTGCCACCCCACAGACCAATACTCAATCTCACATTCTCCAGTCCAACCCGCGCCATGATCATGACAGGCACAGACCATCACATCGCCGGTCTAGGCAATCTAATCGAATGGACCAACATCTCCGGCCAAAACGGTCCTAAAGGCTCATCTATGAGCACCGCCCCCCAACGTGGCATGCCAGGGTACGAGGGCTTCCTCAACGAGCGGGTCGTGGCACTCCCAGAGATCCTCCGCGACGGCGGATACCACACCGTGATGTCGGGAAAATGGCATTTAGGTCTTACACCAGAGCGATCACCCCACAAGCGCGGGTTCAATCGCTCATTCGCACACTTACCCGCCTGCTCAAATCACTATGCCTTCGAGCCAGAGCTAAAAGACCAAGACCATCTCCCGACTTTCATTGAGGCGAGCTATATAGCTCTGCACATGGAGGATGGCGAGTATGTACGTCATCTCCCAGATGACTGGTACTCGTCCGATGGATACGGGGATAAGATGGTCGATTACCTGAAAGAATGGAAAGAGAGCGGTAGCGAAGGTGGAGATCAAGACAAGCCATTCTTCGCATACCTCCCTTTCACAGCGCCTCACTGGCCGCTGCAAGCTCCGCGCGAGTATATAGACCACTACCGCGGCGTGTATGACTCCGGACCTGATGTGCTCCGCGAGAAACGTCTACAGCGTCTGAAGGAGCTGGGGATTGTGCGGGGTGACGTCGAGGCGCATCCCGTTCAAGCAGAGGAAGCCAAAGAGTGGGATGAGTACACTGCGGAGGAGAAGAAGAAGTCTTCCGTTGCAATGGAGGTATTTGCCGGGATGGTTGAGTGCATTGATTCGAATGTCGGGAAGGTAATCGAGTACCTACGATCTATCGACGAACTCGAGAACACATTCGTCTGCTTTATGTCTGACAACGGTGCTGAAGGCGCCGCCTACGAGGCCTATCCGATGGTTAAGAATGGTGTCATGCCGCATCTGCAGAAATACTACGATAACAGTCTTGAGAATCTCGGGAATGGGAATTCCTTCATCTGGTATGGTCCGCGCTGGGCGCAGGCTGCTACCGCGCCTTCGAGACTGTATAAGGCGTATACCACTGAGGGCGGCGTGCGTGTTCCATTTACCTGTCGCTTCCCTGCGAACTTTGATATCAATCCTGTTGATGTTGGGGGGAAGGGCGGGATCACAGATCAGTTCGCTACGGTTATGGACCTCGCTCCGTCGATACTTGATATGGCGGGGATTCAGCATCCGGCGCCGATGTACCAGGGGAGGGAGGTTGTTGAAATGCGTGGTCGGAGTTTCTATCCCTGGGCGGTTGGGAAGACGGAGCGGATTCATCCGGTTGAGTTTATTCAGGGGTGGGAGACGTGTGGACGGGCTGCGTTGCGTTGTGCGGATTGGAAGATTGTTTTTATTCCGAAGCCTAAGGGGCCGGAGAAGTGGCAGTTGTATAATCTTGTTCAGGATCCTGGGGAGATTCATGATCTGTCAGATGTTGAGCCGGAGAAGATGAAGCAGTTGCTTAAATTATGGGATCAGTATGTGCTTGAGACGGGTGTTGTCCCGCTTTGTCCTGATCTTGGGGAGTTTTTGGAGGCGACGGAGGCTCAGATGCCTGAGAATGCGTGGATGGAGTTTGATTATTGGAAAGAAGGGGCTAGAGATGAGCCGGAGAAGTTTATGCGTCAACCACCGAGGTTTCAGAGGACTGTTAAGCCTTTCTGAAGAATTGTTATGAGAACAGAAATAGAAATGACCTTTCAAAACGTGCAGCTTTTACCGCGTGAACCGCGGGGTACAATAATAATATAAACATCCCCCTGAATCTAGTCCTATACTAAATACCATAAATCTAGACTCAATCTTTTCAGAAGGAAAGATCAAGATGTTCGAGACCTATTTACTTCTTGCAGGATGTGAGAAGGGGTATCAGTGAGGAGAATCGGCTTCGGCTTTCTGGTCATATGCGGGAGAGGGTAGGGCATAGGAATGATATACCCATAGTCAAATGAATATCTGATGTATACAATTGTCGAAATAATATAGTAAGTTATCTGTATCTTGCACATTTTTATGCCTTTTATACTCCTTATAATTGAAAATAATTACATATATAGATCATATTTTGTATAGAGACATGAGGTCGTTCCCTGCAGATCTCACACCAATCACACAATTTTGTATATATTAAGTGTCATAAGCATTTTTCCTTTAGAATCTCTAAATCTGACTTCAGATTATGTTCTATCTTATTTCTATACAACATATATCCTCAGTGAAGTCACGATCCTTGCAGCTGCACCCGACAACCGGCGTCATTGCGGGGAAACCAACTATCGGCGATTTCCCTTGTTAAACAGACTACGCTCTGTATCTAGTATGCTTTGGGTTTAACCTGTTTTATCATGGAGGTATATATATATACTCCGTATTCCTCAATCTTATTCATGACCCTAACCCCATACTAACATGAAATTCTCCTAGGTGCCAAAAGCCCGGGGAGCTGGCAGGTCGGGCCCGCGTCGACGGACAGGATGCCTAACGTGCAGGGCCCGTAAGGTCCGGTGCGACGAAACGAAACCAAGTTGCTCCAATTGCGACCGGCTCCGTCTACGATGTCACTATAAACCCCCTATCGCTGCCGGGGTGGGGTGGGGTTCACCACCAACTCGCCGAAATGATACAGCAGCATCGCCGAGTAACACATCGAATTTAGAGGGTTCAAGCTCATCCCCTACAGCCACAACTTCATCCCGATCCCCGGACATCAACTTCTTTAGTACCGTGCTCCGGGCAGACGGCCACCACAAAATACCGGCGACAACTACACTTCGGCAGCTCCCTACAGACCAGGACTCCTATCCTTCCGAATTTGATATGCTAGGGTTTATGGGCGGGATCACTTCTGAGTTGGAACAGAAACAGAAACACCTGGATTTGACAACCGGACTCGCGATGGCGTTCACCGCTAGTCCGGCGTCGCAGTCGCTACCCGTGAACCCCATATCAAGCATGGATGAAGGGCACTCTTCAGCCGACCGCCGCATTCCACTTACTCCAGATACTTCATCTCCAGTTATTGATGGGACCTCAACTGGCAGCGCCTCAGACGTTCCAGCCACGCGAGGGAGCTTATCCGATGCAGGCGGTACTTCGTACGAGGACCAGCTACTACAGCATTTTCAGACTATTGACCCGCCAGCTACTCTTTTTGCGCCAGTGACCATCGAATGGAAGTATATGCGACCAGCACTACTGGCTCAAGCACGGGATTCTAGTCCTCTTTTGAACGCTTTGTACTGCTATGCAGATGTCCATAAAGCGATGATGGAAGGGAAAAGATGGCGCTGGGCGCCGACTTTCTATAGAGTGTCTGATTCGGAGATCCAAGCTTGTATCCATGGCGAGGTGACCGACTCCACACTCATTAAAGTCCTTGGTGCTATTTTCCTCTTAATGATGTCCGAGGTACGTTCTGCTTGGTCTGGAGATCGAGCGGATTCGGCTCATATTATCTCAGATTCTTTCATCTCCCGAAATATGCACCGGAACCTCTTATATTCACTCCGGGTATCTTATTCTACAACGATTCCATGACCGAACCCGACATTGGACCGGTATCGGCCATCTCCTGGTGTCATGGGTCTCGCTGCTAGATGTCAAATCCCTGATTGCAGGCCGAGATGGCGATCCTCTCGCTGAGCTCGGCAACATCCCAGAACATAGTATACCACTAAAACCACTAGATACACAAACCCCCCAAACGCCAACAGACAACTACAAAGAAGAGGACAGCGTCGCAGACCCGTTCCGCAGCCCCAGCTACCTCGTCTACGAATCAATCGTAGGCCCGGCCTTCCAGTTCTTCGTACAAGCCCAACAAGTCGTCCGACGCATAGTCTGCATCGATCTCCACCATCGCAGCCGCGGAACCCTCACCGATGAATTTGAAGTTCTCCAGCTCGCCCACAAAGTCGGCGCAGACCTCGAAACACTCTGGCACCGACGTCCTTCTGTAATAGACGTCTACGGACGACCAGAAGCACTGACCGATATCCTGAGTGCCCCTGTGGCAGTGGAAATCTGCCGCACATTCAGACAATACGTGGCAAACTTCTTAGCCAACTTTATCTACTTGCACCGCGTTGCATTTGCAATATACCCCCGCACAGACCGTGTTAACGGCGCCGTCGACCAAATCATTCAACTGGCTACTGTTGACTCGACCGGCCCGGACCATCTGCCTGTCAGCTTCCTGTGGCCGCTATTCATTGCTGGACTCGAGGGCACAGAGGAGCAGCGCAAGTGGATTGTCCACGAGATTCAGCGTATGGCCGCAGCCCACGAAGCTGACTCGGCTCCTTCGACCACTCGCCACCCAACTGCTGATAAGGTCCTGATGCTCGTGGAGGAGATGACTCGGCGACAGGATGTGTCGCGCACATGGGCAGACTCGAAATGTGTGCGGCGGGAATTGTTTTCGGACTTTTTCGTTATAATCTAAACATCATTTTCGGCGTATGTATATATGACTTTCTAATAGCTCTGCATTTCACACATATATTCCAGCGACTTTGCTTTCCTTGATATGTTTGGCCCGTTCATATAAAGTACACAAGAACAACCACTTCAGACATCCTAAACCTCCCCAGACCCAACCGCTCGATATAACACTTTATCCCCACCCATACACCTCGATCGATGTAGTAAATGACCCCGTTCCTTACGCACATATGCCGCAAAACACCCAGCAGCAACCGCCACAGCCCCGGAACTAATCAAAACAGGATACCCGAACTGACCCGGCAACGGAAAAGCAATAGTCGACGCAAAAGAAAGCATCTCAAAAACATTCTGCAACGCCATTTCCGTCGCCGAGAACCGCGCACGCGCATGTTCCGGTACATTCTACGCATTCATTCAGTACAGTAACACAAAAGTAGACGGAGAAGTCCACTTACCTCCTGAACAAGAAACTGAACAGACAAATCAAACCCCCAAAGCCCAATCCGACTCAAAGCAACACCCGCAATCAGCGTACCAGCCACAACCCGCGAACTCGAGTCCCAAGCAACGAAAGAAACAGCAGACCCAGCCACACAGACAAATTGCCAGTTCAAGAACCATAATCCGGATCGAATCGGTCCAATCCGGTTCATGATTAGAGGCGCTGTCCATGTCCCCGATAGTTCGGCGATTACTGAGGCAATGCGCATGTAGCTAACCTCCAACGAGGTGAAGCCTGTGTGGAGGAGGTATGTGACCATTGTTGCGCCGAAGGATAGAACTGTTAGGTAGAGTAGACTTAGGGCGAAGGAGGCTAGGAAGACGGGGCTGGATATGTATTCTTTCCATGGTGCTAGTGGAGATTCTTGCTGTGGATTGTGTGAGGTGATATTTGTATCTGCTTGTGGATTTCTCTTGGCCAATGTTGGGACGGATTTGTAGACTTGGGCGATGGCTACGTATTCGATTAACACTGATGCGGTGTTTAGGGTGAATACTGTCCAGATTGCGGATCGGGTTGATATGCTGTCGATGAAGGAGATTGATACTGGTGCTAGGAGTTTGCAGAAGAGATCTATTCGTCTCATTGAGGCGTTTAGGTCTGGTTGAAGTTAGATAGTGTTGATTTAGGTCACTTAGGTTTCATACCTTGCCGGGGGACGTTGATACTCTCCGAGATCACGATTGCCTGTTGAATTATTAGCTATGTCTCTTCTAGAATGAGAAATGTATATCGGATGTAAGGACGAAAGCAGATAAGCCATATACGATTCGCTGTACATACCCAGTCTCGTTCCACAGCCACTGTATTAGCCGTAGCGGCCAATTTCTCTACACAAGCCAGCAGGCCTTGGACAACGAATAAGATAATAGTAAGCGTCCAAGAGTCTGTAGATAGAGTCGTTATGAAGCACAAGCATGACAACGCAACTGGGACTCTCTGCCATACTACTCGTTTGATTAGATATTGACCCTTAGTGATAGTATGGATAGAGTGAAATATTTCAGTGATAGTAACTCACTAATGGAATGTCTCACGGCTACGAGTCGGTCTGAGCGATCAACTTGCGCACCCAGCCAGGACGAGAGCGCGACGGCGGAAAACGCCCGCACTAGAGCGTATATCGAGGCATATAGTAATGTACCAGGGAAAATCGACGCTAAGAAAAGCACGGCGCCGAATTCGAACATGCGTGAGTTCCATGCTGAGAGCGTGTGTGAGATGTATAGGCGTGTTAGTACTGAGTGGGCTTCTGGTGTTGGGATATTGGGGCGTGAAGTGTCATCCGCCGATGTCGGTAAATGGGTGTTAGAGGCATTGGTGCTAGTGCTTTCTAATGAGCGCCGACTAGACTCTTGGGAACTGCACTCAAGTTCCATGTTTAAGCGTGGAAATCCATAGCAGGTGCAGAAATCTGGTTATGGATTTGATTGAGAACTAAGTTGGGGTGTCGGGGCCCGATATGCCGCGGGTGGGCTGAGGACCTTCGTGGAAGGATTTGGGGTTGCTATTTGGAAGTTTTAATTGAAGAATACCATCACTGTTCTTTTTTGTCTTGAAGATAATTACAGGAAATGCAATAGTATATGGTATATGGGCCCAATTCTCAATAAATTCTAATACACAACAATAAAAATTACAAGCTATAGACAGTATCTCTTTAATCCACCCACTTGAGTCCTTCGGGAGATGATGTCGTCGTCCGGCGGGCAATCACCTCGACGACCTTTCGGCGCACACCCTCGCGGTGAGCGTATTTCTGGAGGAAGTGGTCGACCACGGGTCTCCGCGAGGCGTGACCTCGACGAACAACCTTCTCAATCTCTGCCTCGGCGGGAAGAGCGAAGCGGGTATGAGGGTAGTTGTGGTAATCTCCCTCGCTCAGAAGTGGTAGACGGGACTCGTGGTCGGCGATCTCGAAGAAGCTATCGACGGTTTCATCCGAGACCTCTGCGAGAGTAGCGGGCTTCCACTGGGGCTGACGGGCAGGCTTGGACATCAGACGGGCCTTGACACCCTCAACGAAATCAGGATGGCGCATGAAGTTGGCAGCGACCTTGTGCTCGCGCTGGAAGGTCTCCGAGATGCTCCATTTCTTGCCAAGACGCATCTGGCGCAGGGTAACCTTGAGAGAAGTGGGAGAGCGGCCTGACAGAGTCTCCAATGTCTTTTGTGCCCACTCTTTTTGCTCAGTTTCATTCTCCAGCGCCTGGATGATCTCCTCCATAGTGTTGTATTTGAAGCAGCGGTCAATCGCAGTGCGCAGGCTACCAGCCATGAGCATAGGCTCCTCCTCAAGCGAGGGGAGTCCAAGGGAGAACTCAGCCATGGTCTTGTTCACGATTTGCAATCGCTCGGGAAGCTCGACGTGGTCGGGGAAAGTAAGCTCGGAAAGACGCTGCGCAACACTGCTCAGAACACTTGAGTGCAGGTAGTGTGTAGCGATGCCTGCATATAGAGCTTGGACACCCTTCAGGCGCTCCGATGTCAAAGCCAGGTATGTGCCGGTCTCACCATCGAGACGGGGGAGGAAGAACGAGCCGCCAACGTCGGGGAAGAAGCCAATGGTTGTCTCGGGCATAGCAAACAAGGTACGCTCAGTCGCAATTCGGAAAGGGGCGTGCATGCTGAGGCCCACACCACCACCCATGGTGATTCCGTCCATAAATGAGATAACAGGCTTCGAGTATGTAGCGATCAGGTGGTCGAGGCGGTATTCGAGTCCGAAGAAATCTGTCGATGCCTTTTGTCCTTCTGCTCCACTCTCATTCTGCAGTGCGAGGGCAGCAACGTCGCCTCCTGCGCAGAGAGCCTTGGTGCCGGCTCCAGAGATGAGGATCATGTTTGCAAGATGAGATTTCTCCCACTCCTATCCATTTAACGCTTAGTATTTTATGTTTCTGAAGAGCCGGGAATCCATTCTAACCTTCAATCGAGGGAGAATTTTGCGAGCCATCGAGCCGTTGAGAGAGTTGAGCTTCTTAGGTCGGTTGAGCTCAACGCTGCGGAGGCCGTAGATCGAGTTGAACAGAACATCGTCGCGCTCATCGCCGGGGAGCTCTTTGGGGATATCAGATGAAGTCGACATCTAACGATAGTAAGCACTGAATATCGGGCTTCTCTCCGAACAGGGTAAATACCATAGCAGTTGGCCGAAAGGCAGGGTTGGTCACCTTGGCGCGTAGAGGCATGGCTGAAGGAACGCGCGAGGTCCAGCTCGGCGAGGAGACGCGATTGAATTGTCGAAGTAACATTAGAACTGGAATATGACGAGAACCGAGGAAGGGGGTTATGTGGTGACAATCAGGTGTTCTCTCCGCTTTCTTGACCTCGGGAGTTTTTCGCTGGATTTTCTCTCCGCTCCGAGGGTCAACTCTCCGCCCATAACCGACGTCCTTGGGTATTTTGGGGTCACCCCAATTGAAGCCATTTCTTTTAATAATATAAACGGAAAACAAATAGTATGACTGTGGAATAATATAAAGAGTTACCTAACTACATATGGTGTAGCCCTTAGGCCCCAACTGGGAGAAGTGATAACGTTCGAAGTATACATGGTCTATTTGTACATAGCTAGATAATGCCAAAAAAAAGGAAACAGAAAATGACGAAATTAAGCGTTCTTCCATGTAGATGCCATCCGGCTAAAGTCTAGCGGATACACCCTCTTTCCATCAGCTGAAGGCGAAAAGAGAGTGTCCACCTTCGCCAAATCCGTGGTGTGCGAAAGCAGGATCCTGTGCAGTGCATTCTTCTCAATGACCAATCTTGCTGTTTCCAGGACATTCTTCACATCCAAATCCTCGACGCTGATAGTTCGTGCCTGGTTGTGGAACTTTTCGACCGCATCAGAGAGCATCTCATTCGGCTTTAGTGTAATGAATGTAGACCGGCCCTTGCCATGCCAGCCATGAGCTTGGAGGAGGTGTTTGATGAAGAACGGAGTCGATTCTTCATTCATCTCGATTTCGTTGTCGACGACAATCAATTCGCCGCGTGATAGCCGGTGGCTGAGCGCAATGCGCCAGGCTTGGTCGTAAATCTTCCGTGGCAGATCGGTCGAGAAATCGCGAGGATGAGGTCCAAAAGCAACACCACCACCTCGTCGAACTGGCGACATCTTATCACCTGCACGCGCACGACCGGAGCCCTTCTGCGCGTACAGCTTTCTGTGACTACCGTGCACATCGTCCCTCCACTTGGTGTTGGCGGAACCTTGTCGGGTGCTGTCTCCCTCGTAGATGACTGCGCGGTGGAGGATATCGTGACGAACGGGCATCTGAAGTAGCCTCCGGGAGTAGTGGACCAGACGCTGGGGTTCCAAATCAGGCCACCTGTAGGTCATGACTTGAACAGGGGTTTGGCCCCCTGGTCGTTGTGCTTGTTCGACCTGGACAGCATCCTTAGTCGCTCGCACGTTTGGTTTGGCTTCGGTTGCCATTGAGCGTGTAAGGCACCGTTGCTGTATGATTCGACGCGCTGTCAGTAAATGCGTCCTAGATCTGTGCCGAGAGGAATTCATGGAGGGCACTAACCGCCACCTGCTTCGGGCCTGACATAAGTCCGCCTGAGCTGCGTGTAAGCAGCCTCAGAGACCGAACAACATCGTTACCTGCCATTGTGAAAGGCTGTGCGTGATCGACGTATAAGCTGGTGATGTCCGGAGTGTTGAATGGAGCAAAAGTTGATACCGGGCGGTGGGTGGCAGCAGAACCGGGCCCTACAAAGTATAGACACAACTAGTCCAATTTAGGTAATGGGCTCATTATCCCCGTCATTGCTACCTGACATTGTAGGGTAATAAGGGAATATCAAAGGCGGCAAAAATTATAAACAGTATGGATAGCATTTCTGTGTATAACCAGGCATTTTTGAGCTTGAAAACTTCCAGGTTCATGTTAGAGTACATAACGCAACACTAAGAAGCATCACGTGATAGGCTAGGTCCGAACAGAAAAAGTTCCCCGGGAAGACAACAACATCGGATTCTCAGGCCAAGTCCATCATAACCCCAATTCCTCGAATCATGGCCCACTGCGAACGGGCTTCGAAGCCTCTGCTCCAATGCCTTCGCAATACCTACTCTAGAGGCGTGGCTGGAGTTCAACTCCAAACGCGAGCCTTCCAGTCGACCGCCAGTGTTCGAGAGCCCGAGGCTGAAACTCCGAGCCAACCTTTCCACAAGGCACCCGACCCCTCGCTTGTGACGAGTCCCCGTCTTGAAAGACGTTTGCTGCGACAAGGAACCGCCCCCATTGGATCTCGTCGTCGCCGTGCTGCGCTCCAGGATTCAGAAAACCTTCCTTTCGAGCAACTGCCCTACCAATGTTTCCAAGAAGCCCGGAAGATTCTGCTTGCGGACCGCGAACAGAAGTTGAAGGAAATTGAGGTGATGAGACAGCGCCTTGCCAGACAGGAGGCTTTGTCCGACCAGGAGTCTGGAGGAGCAAAGGCGAAGAAGTCCCGCGTTACTGCGATGCAATTACACCTGGAACGCCTCAAGGTTCTGGCCGATATTAACGATCCTGCAGTCAAGCGAAAGTTCGAAGATAATGAAGGTAATGATTTCTAAGTCAATCGATTTGGGAATTGGCTAATAGTTTGTTTTCTATCAATTCAGGTGACATGTCCAAGCCTATCTACCGCTTTTTGGCCGATCGCAAATGGCGAGAATACCGCCGCAAGATTCTGGTCCAGCGTATCACCCAGATGAACGTCGTTCCCGATGTCCTGCCTCACTGCGACCCCGTCGTTGACACAAAGCTGTACTTCAACAAGCGACAAGTCCAACCCGGTGAATTCGTCGATGCGAAGCTCAGCACAAGCGCACCCAAACTCGACGTCCAGATCTTTGAGGGTGGTGAAAAGCTGGTCACCATTGCGGTTGTCGACCCTGATGTCCCGAACGTTGAGAACAACAACTTCGATTATAAGACACATTTCCTGGCTGTCAATGTCCCCATCTCGGCCACTTCCACCAAGATCGATCTTGCGCAGCTTTTGGAAGACTCCCAGGTGGTTCTCCCCTGGCTACCACCTGTCGCTCAGAAGGGAAGTCCCTACCACCGTCTCTCTCTCTTCATCATGGAGCAGAAGGATTCCCAGCCTTTGGACTTTGCCGCCGTCAAGGCCAAGGAGAGCAACCGCGACACTACCCTTCTTCGCTCTCTCCAGTCCCGTTACCACCTCAAGGCCATTGGTGCTCACCTGTTCCGTACCCAGTGGGACGACACGACCCTGGAGGTCATGAAGGCGATTGGATTTGACAATGCCAATGTGGAGCTGCGCCGCAAGAGAGTCGAACCTCTGCCATATAAGAGACGTAACCCCTCTTCATTCCGCTGATCATGTTTGTCTCACCTATTCTATGTTCAAGCCGGGTTTTGTATTGTACAATTTGATATATGTATGAATATGCACAGTGTTTTAATCCCTTTCAACCGAACTCCATGTGTATGCTTAAACAAATAAACCCGAGTACCACCCATCGGCAAACTGCAACCCCCCTAGCTGGCATAATGTACACTGTATGATCCTCAAATGTTCTGGGCCTCCAGTTGCGCCGGTTGCAGCGGATTGGTCACCCACTCCATCTTCGACAGAGGCCATACTCTGGCAATGATCTTCCCATTAATGAGACCCATAGGCACTGGACCGTAATTTCTCGAATCCCTAGACCAGGGAAGATTGTCGCCGGCTAGAAAGACGTGACCCTCGGGAATCTACACAAACATCACAAGTCAGCAACCGAACCCAGCCAGGACCAAGACACATAATTCACCTGAATCATATTCCCCTCCTTGCCAATATCCGTACTAAGCGGCTTGTCTTGACAGACAAAATCCCCAGGCATGCCCACTACCCGCTTGGCCACATGCACGCCTTGAAAGTTGGGATGACCGTATCGCACAACATCTCCGACCTCGATTCCTTTTCCATTGCGGTGCATGCGCGATATCAGGAGCCAGTCGCCTCGCACGTCGAAAGTAGGGTACATCGACGGGCCCTCGCTCAGCTGGATGGTTATCAGGTGCTCCCAAATCAGCGCGCAGGCGCAGAAGGTGCTAGTGCCATTGAGTGCGAGTCGCCCAATTGTGCGCGGGTTGAAACCCGCTACTAGCGACCGAATTAAGTGTTCCATGTGTAGTGAATTGGAAGTCTAGTCTTGCTCAGATCGAGCTACATCAACTATTCCGCGGTCGGGAATGGTCATGTGACCGCATGGAACCTTTAAAATCCATTTTTTTGCTCCACATCTTCCTCTTCTCCCATCATCAGTGAATATGTACGGTGTCTTGAACTAGGGATAGAATATCGACGTTGCATTGGATTTTGATATCCAGGAGCCTTCCAGCTATATCAGCTGCCCATTAATGTTTCGCGGGTGCTGGGCTGAGAAGGACCTGGATTCTCCATGCCTCGATTATTCTGAGCATTTCTAGAGATGCTCAAGTCGATATTCTTTACATATACTACCCCATACCTAATCCCTTTTGGGATATTCGCTTCTCCAGCTAGAGCTTGCCGTCGCCGAAATACATAACCAGGACGAAGCACGTGTGGAAGATTTGAAGCAAGATGAAAACAACCAGCCTATCTTGTCAGATACGCTGTCCTCCAGTGTGCCTCAATATGACCCCATTTCATTATGGGACTGGGTTCTTGAGGCATGTGCAGCGGGGAGACATTTCAATTAGACAATTTATTTTTTTATTTCTTATGCTCTCTTACATTCTTTTGTAGTCTCGGACAACATCAATGAGCGATATTCATGCTTCAATCAAATTGACTTTCGGCCCATCGAATCAGCATCTAACAACCATGTCAGTCCAAATACAATCAGCCCGAATCAAGCATAATACGTACCAGGATGCTTCTCAACCGGCTCAATACCCTCCCTCTTCTTCGCCTTCTGCCGATGATCCACCCCAAACCTCTTATTCCGATCCTCCAACAACGAATCCAAACCTGCAGGATGCGCAACCTTCACACTCTCATTCGATACAAAGCTGCCCATCAACTGCGGCTCCCCCATAGGCACAGGGTCTCCACGATCAACCTGCCAGAAATGATACGTCTTGCCATAGATAGGCGCAACATCCTGCATCTCTGCCGTCTCCGCAGCTTCCCATACCGCATCGGGTACCCCAGCCGGTGCTGGCATGATCAACATGCCACTCTTAACCTCGAACTCGTGCGTGTGCCAGAGCTTACGCTCTTCGGCGGGAAGAGTCGCGAAAATCCGCGGCGAGACCATGTATTCCACGCCGATAAGGCGGGCGTTGGTCTCGGGTGAGTCGTAGATCAGGCATTGGCGGATATCTGGGTGAGGTATTAATGTCCATGTCCACGGGTGGGTAATATAGACATGACTGTTACATACCCTCTGTTAAATGGGTGCAATAGTGATTAGCCTCGACGCATCGGGTTGGGTCGCTGGCGTAGAAGTGGAATGCATGAAGATGTGCGCAGATTTGTTTTACGGGCCTGAAGTCTTGGATCATCGACGCTCCGCTTTCAAGGACTCGACTCTTCAATGTTCGTGGTTCGCCTGGGAGTTCATTTCCCTTGCAGCAAGAGCCTTTTTCGGTATTTGACATTTTGTCGTACGTTGAGTTCAAGATGGGTTCGAAGTTGTTGCGAACTGTTAATGGTCTTCAAACTGGTTAAATATATAAATTGAGGCAAGTTTCTTGCTTTCCGTTTGACGTCACGATGATTGTGTTGATTTCCTATTCGGGAATATTTACTATAGCTTCATTCAGATGGCCATGTTATTTGTAAGGAACACTTTTGATATATTGGATTTAAGAACTCAAGCGACAGTCTCCCTCTGCTCCAACAAGTCATAAGTAGGAGCCTTTGTCATATCAAAATTGCCCAGCCCATCAAAACGATGCTGTTCTTGCTTCCTTTGACAATATGCCAGTGCTATATTCCGCACTATGCTCCACTCAAGCATGCTCGTGCCTAAAGCCTTGTTATCGGCCTGGAGCGTTTCCAACGCCTCTTTTACCCAGGCGACACAATTCCACCCTGGGCGACCCTGTCGAACAGGCGTATTTCGCATAATTTCGGCTGTATGATATGGATCCAGTACCTTCCCAATCACGATACGAACTAGCATGCTACTAGGGGTAAGTGGACATTCAATCTCTTCGAAGTACCACTCAGTGCCCCCTCCCACTTTTGGACATTCATTCGCGTGGTAACAGAAACCTGTGCTATTCTCATGCTCAAATTTTGGCCCTACAATCAGGGACCAATGGTATCTAGTCAATATTAATCTCGCTGTTCAAGACACTCATGAATGGTAGTCTCACGAGTCTTCCCTGTCTGGCATGAATAATTTGCCTCTTCGTGCATGGAGAACAACATACATCCGATCTTTATTAGAGGGCATTGTAGATGACGTTGACCAAGATAGATATTCTGATAGGGTCGATTATTGGAGGGATGAGCGTAGTGGGGGTTTCTAAAGCTAGTACTGGGGTGGGTGTCTTTATATTTAATAAAGACTTTAAGGCTATAACCGCTTTTGAATACGATGTGATGTGATGTGATTCGGGTTGCAGTAGATGGGCACTCGGATGGGTGTAAAGGGGGCCAATTGGGTAGAAGTTCCAACTAAAAATCCAACGAGGACTAAGCGCAATATAAAAATAGAAATTCAAAGCAGAGCTTAGTGGCCCAGCTAGCGTCGAATCAATTAGTGTAGCAAATAGCGTTGGGCTTAGGGGCCTGATCGCAATTCTGGGCCGAAAGGGAAATTGAAAAGTTGGCTGCATTGTTTTTTCTAGATAGATCTAGAATTCTCAAGATTGGGCTCTGAAGGGACAAAGGGACATATATGACGCATTTTAAAATTGCATTTGGGCAAAAGAGATGCATACTACCCAATGTTAAGCTCGTGTAGACCTAGAAACGTCTGTATTTGGTAGTTTCTTTGATGCTATTTTCTGTAAGTATACACCCCGATTAACCCGAAATTCTCATGTATATGTGGACTAGATAATTAAGGGCTGGCAGATAGCTACCAACACAGATGCCAGCCACTTTGCCCTATGCACCATAGATCCTATGCTTTCAAAAGTCAAGTTTCTGGTAAAGCTCCATCCAGACATACATAGTGGATGACTTGGCAAAGCTCACACAACATAGATGATCTATTTTGGCGACAAATGTATCACGATGAGAAACGATACGCTGCTGAACAAGCTTCACCCGACCGTACCCCGCTTAGAACTCGAGGAGTCCCGTTTTGGACTTCGAGAAACAGTCATTGTAAAGCAGCAGAAACACGAACGAGAAGCTGAGATTTGCGATGAGATATCTGCCTTCACAAAGCTACAAAAGCTCCAGTGCACCATGATCTCAACTCTACTCGGAGAAAGCTCTTTCAATGGGCGCTAGGCCTTGATCATTTCAGAGATCAAAGGTATAACTCTACGTGATCTCGCCAAACTAGCCGAATCAAGCGTCGAAGAGAAAACCCTGGAGTTTTATCTCGGGAAAGCTTTTAAGGAGCTTTACAAGTTCGGGGCCGAGCATTATGACCTGAACCTAGGTAATTTTCTGTTATGTGATAATGGGGAAGTGGTGGTTATCGATCTTGAAGAGGTCGAAATCCACGATAGACAGCAAGCTTGGGAACACAGCGTTAATATGGCTAGTGTGAGCTACCTGATGAGTAGATTTAGGGATGTGAGATATCCACGTCGCCCTCCGTCCCCTGTTTTATACTGTACTGGGGATAGCCATGATAGGAGCCCTGCTCTTCCATGGGCCCCATAAGCTGTAGGAACATCATAAAATCAAAGTTTGCCATGCCCTAAAATGGAAAATGGCCTTCAATAGGTTCTAGGGAGCAAAGAGACCTGGGATGAAGCTAGAACGCCTCTAGGAAGTAGAGACTAGGATGTAATATCCCCGTGAATCAGTGACTTGATTCCTTTACTTGGCTGTTCATACAGTACCGACGCCATTCTCATGAGCGCAATTAACAGAACTTCTTTTGCCTCAGGGTCTTCAGCAAGAGCCTGAAATAGTTTACAGGCATCGTCGTCCCCATGAAAATTGGTCATGGAGAGCGTTAAATGACAGCATTCTTGCTACGTTGTTTGTCGTTGTTGGTTTACTCAGCGCAAAGCTGGTTAGGTTGTCAGGAGTTTAGCTTAACAAAAGCCATTAGGAGAGAATTACTAGTTATAACTATACATCTACTAGAAATTTTGTACAGCTAGGGGGCGGGGACTAAGTCTCTTGCAATTCTCTTGGGACGTCGCCATAAATATTGACCGATCCACCGGATTGACACGTTCGCCGTGAAGTTAGCGAAAACCACCCAATAGAACGGAAGCTATTGATTGATGGTTCCCCTTCTCGGAATTCAAAGGGATCCTTGGTAAACAGTCCTACTGGAAGCCAGAGCTAGCCCTTCCCTGGAACTTTCTGTGGATCAGGGGACGCGGGGGCTCCCAAACTGACAAGTGAGCAGCAAGTTTATTGACATCGGGCTCAGCGACTTCAAGGATCAGATGGACTGGCATTTCCTCCTCACTGCCAGAAGATAAATTGTCACCTCCCTTCTCCTCTTCCTCCCACCGACTTTGGGTCGCTGGAGAGGGTCTTCTTCGAAAGATTGTCGGGAGGCTGTTGGTTAGGACAGGAACATATCCGGTTAACGTCTCTCGTCTTCGCTGAGGTCTTTCTCAGAAGTCTTCACTTCATCGACACCGTTCCCGCCGCGTCGGCTTGCGGTTGGTAGCTCTTTAGGGGCGCATGTACATCGCTGTTCAGCATAGGATCCTGTTCGTGTACTGAGTTTTCCAGCATACAACTTATCTTGCCACTGTCCAAGCAAGTACCTAGGGGAACTAAACGTCGGAACCAAGGGAGACCGTTGGCCCATATGATCATAGGTGGATCCAAGGGCGCTCGCTGGGTACGAATATCCCCATGCTGATCTTAGTCCGCTTGAAAACGAGAACTGCGCTGATGAGGGGTCATAGTACAAAGGCAATAGAATACGCCTTGGTCCGTCAGGCGGACAAAAGAAAGGGCTCGAGGAAAACGTCGAGTATTAAAAGAGTGCAACGGGCTTCATCAGGCAGTATAGCCAAGCCCCAGCCGGAAAAGGCCCTATCGCCAGCTGTAGCGCTTCGAGCAAAGGCTTGTGTGCTGTTAAATGCTTTGACTTGGCTCTTAAAGTCAGCCATGGCCTCAATGTCCCGATATACTCCAGTCCATGAAGTACAGATGGCGTGGTTCTCGGGGCTCCCACGTTCAAGGGAGGTGGCTGCAGACTCGTACGAGGCCTGTTGCTTCTGGATGGCTGCTTGAAGTGGGAAACACTTGTATGATTTGTTTTGCGCAAACGTGCTTTGTGGCCATTTTTTAAAACCAAGCTAAAGTCAGTATGAGTTGCTTAATATCACTAAGGCGAAAAGAATATTCGAAAGAATTCAAGCCTAAGAGCAGACCAGAAGAATCGAGAAAGACAGGATTGCCCAGCTGAAGAATGCACAACCTCGTAGGAGCCTGAGAGCATCCTTCATGAAACTGTTTACCACCTCTACTATGGGAATGGCCATCAAGGATACATACGGACGCTGGGTTGAACGTTAGGGCGTAGTAATCTATATAGATTGCAAGGATTGAGAGACGGTATGCCCACATTATGACTGGTTTGCCATGCGCTAGGATCAGGTTAAATGTCGCCATCCTAATTGAAGTCGGCGGGCCTCTTGATGTGCCGATTTCGTGCGGCGACAACGGTATGGCTGAACACGAGAAAATAACCCGCCTGAAAGACTGTGTTAGGTATGTGGAGTGAAGAGCGTGCTATCGTCCTCGTATTCCATTTTGCTCGTATTTCATCTTCCTCGTATCTATTCTTATCGTAGGATAGCGGATTTAAATGTCTCGGATTGATATCCAGAATGTATTGTACATTATTTTTTGTGACTTGCAATACTGCACTCGCTCGATTATACACAGAAATGGATCCGTTCCATCCAATCACGAGGACTGATGTGTACCATGACGACAAAGGCTGGAGGTGGTAAGCAGATGGGTTGATCTCATTAGACTGCTATATAAAAATAGCGGTTGCGGGTGTATCCTTACAAAACAACAATACATAGTACATATAGTTAAAATCAACCATTAGTGCACGGTTGATTATCGGTTTTCTGAAACCGTATGTAGTAATATACTCGGTACTCTGCATACGGGGCCAAAAGTTGTTTACGGCAAGTAGACCTGACGCCACTGACTAGAAAGGGTAAGGTAAGTGGCAAACCAGCAATTTCCTCAAAAGACGACGATGTTGACCAGTTAGTCAATGATAACCATGTCAGAGTTACGATCTATGCTCTTTTGCCCCACTCTCGGGGAGCAAACGGCGCGATCAGACCCGACATACAAGGCACGAATAGAGGGTCTACGATAAAATAGTATAGTGGAAAGCGTCTCTCATGACTTTATGCACTTGCTAGTCCATTTATGCATCAGGAGGACTTAACTTGTGACTTTTGTATAATTGGTACCTAATATTCACTATTACAATTGCCCATGCTACATAGAGTTCCCACATATGTACAAAGTACTCCGTACTCTGTTTACAATAGTGGATAGTGGTTGTGCATCTAGACCCCTACAGCTTTTGATCGGCTGCCTAAACATTGGTCTACTTTAATATATACGTAATCTGACTATCACAATTCCAGGCTCCGGAGAAAGTCCTAAAATCTAGTCATATATTAGTAGGCAGTTCCTAAAAGCGTAAATGTATTCGCCGCTAGCCACATGTGCTCGGCCCTTCACCATTCATTTATTCCATGCCTAATTAAGTCATCCTCTAGTCTTACTGCTGTAGTTCACCGAGGACCTTGAAAACTACACGTGGATCTTGCAGCTACTAGGTGCATATATGTTTGGAACCCTGTAGGGGATAAATAAGCGAGCGTCTACTTATTCTACAAGTTACACTTGACTACTTTTTACCTTTGCTTGAAAAATTTACTATAGTCTTAGTTTATATTTATATACTTACTATTGGAACCCCTATATGTTGTATATCGGGTTAGTGCCTAGGGTGCCTACGGTGGGTGCGGCCAAATATCGGGGGTGGGTCGGCCCTGGGGGCTGAAGAGTCTCTAGGGTCATAAGAATTGCCAGGTAAGCGGAGATCCTTTGGGGGTTCATGTTATTCGGTTGATATCATACTCCGTACTCCGTTACCAGCTAAGTACTATCATCGTGTTATGGCGTCAAGCCCACCTGCCGTTTACAGTTCGCTAGTATCTCGTATAAAATTCTATGAATACATCTTACTATGTATGCGCGAATGTGGAGATGTGGTATGCATCAATTCAATTGGCGAGCTACTATGCCTAGGCGGCACGGATGTTTCCCCGAGGCTTGTTTTTCGCTTAAAACGTCTATGTAAGTCACATTTTATTACGCCACTCCTTTGAATTCCGTACGGCTGTCCCGCATCCTAACTTAATGGTACGCCCTGTTTCAGCCTATCTAACATGGAATGAATGGATATGGAGTCCCAGATAGCGGAGAAACTGCGGCATTAGTGCCTCGTATTCCGCCCAATCAACTGGCCAATAAAGTGGGTTGGTACTTCTATACCAAGTTTGTGTCTCCATAATACTGCAATACATGTCTGACGCAGTTGAAGGAATGCTTGATGTGAAACAATCAATGACAATGGGTTATAAAGTTCAAATTGAGAATGGTTGCGGCGAAGTGCACAAGGCAATCGAATCAACTGCCGAAATACAGTTTGACTCTGTTATGTGTTTCGGAAATTCTCTCTTAGGATTAAAATAGGAGTAATGGGTAAGCTGTAGAACAACACGAGGCGGCAAGAAAATACGGGATATAATCCAGTGCTTACATCCCAATGCGGCATTTCCCTTGATGCATGTCCACGCCTCCTATCCCCACCTGGGCAGATTAAGTGGATGACCTGAGATGGGGCGAAAAGGCTTAGGCGAAAGCTTAGGTAGGGGCAATGCGGAAATCCTTCATGATTACAAGCCCTGTCGCTCGATTGGATAGAGACATTGGTGATGTTAACTCATATGCTCCCGTATCCCGTAGGCACTTGTGTCCAGTTCGTCTTTTCCCCCATTACTGCAACTTCATACTCATTATACACTTCACAAAATCCCAATGGCTGGAGACTCGATCCGCAGCACTCGGCCTGAAAAGCTACGATCTAGCTGTGATCGATGTGGCACGGCCAAAGTGAAATGCGACAAGGAACAACCAGAATGTGGGCGGTGCATCTCACATGGCGTACCCTGCATCTATGGGGTTTCGCGTAAGATGGGAAAGCCCCCACGACGTGTCAGTCTGTCTCGATCCACGAGCGACACCGTCACGACTACCCAGAGCAGTAGTGAAACCAGCAGTGGGGGCATGCCGCTGGATCTGGAGCCCTCTCCTAGAACGGATATGAACACTTGGGATCATATGGATGAAGACAGCAGTCAGACATTCATAGACATTCTGGATGCCGGAGGAATCTTGAACCATAATCTTCCAATACCGATGATACCGAATCTACCGTTGGATTACAACGAGTGGACTATCTCAGACCAAACCAGTGTCAACGTCCTTTGCCCTTTTCGATCCTCTCAGCAATCTCCAACACAAGGGGAAGATCTGACGTCCATGGCTTTCCAGTGGCAATGGGATGGGAGTGTCGAACAAGGGTCTATATCCCCGGAAGTTGCCAACGACCATGACTGTCAACGGAAATCTCATGAGATCCTTGAAAGTTTATCCGTCCACAACATCGGCAAGTCAGAAGCGGACGAACTCCCACCACCGGCTGGGTTCGCCCTGAAAACAGAGACTACAGTGAACGGAGTGCCACTAGACTTGGTGCTTCAGCTTAATCGCGAGGCGACTGAGCGCCTAATTCAGCTCGTTTCTTGCCCCTGTGCACGAATCCCGTCGGTTGCATTACTCTATGCATCGATCATCTCCCGGATCCTGGCGTGGTACGAGCAGGCTGCTTGCTGCACACAGCCTTCTCCTTTGTCGAGCCTTGCTAGTACGACGGCAGGGAGTATTTTAACATCCAGCGACTCTAGTAGAGGTGCATCCTCACCACCTATGCAACCTCCAGAGGTATCGGTCGCACCGTCCCGAATGATGATTGGGACATTCAATGTGGATGATCCTCGCCTCCAGACTATGATGAATATACACCTGCTATCTGGCGAGATGAAACGAGTCAAGGATGTTATCGACCAATTCGGTTCACAAACCGGCTGCTCAACTCCGGCGACAGGGCAAATCGGAGGCCTTTGTTTGAGTCTCAACTCATGGCTTAAGCAGGATTATTCAAGGATTTTGCATATGATGCAAGCTGAATTGAGGGAACTGAGCATTTGAGATAGCTCTGTTATAATCAACACCTATATTAGCTAATTTATATGGCGTTTTGGTTCATTACTCCTAGCAGTGAGATGTCACTTTAGAGAGCCGGCATGTAAGTCATACAGAGAAGCCGATAGAGAGCAGTGGGGCCAAGAAACACTCAAGATGGCGAGAAGCTAAAAAAAAGGAGCCAAACACAGCCAACAGATAAATTATTCGGCTTGGTATGCAAGACATGCTATCCTGCGAGGTCGGGAACCTAAGCGATGGATACGATTTCCAAATCAGCAGTTAGCGTTCGGGGGATTTAACGAACGGATGCAGCCCTGGAGGGATCTCAGGCACGATTCGACCAGACAGTCCACTTCCAATCAGTTTGAGACGGGGCGTTCTCCATCTAGAACCACCATATAAGCTTTGAGCAAGAATCATGCAAGGAGGCAAAGAGGGAAAGAAGAAAAATCCGGCCCACAAAGGTCCGGAAAGGAAGTCAAAATTCCTATCTGTACTCAGCCTAAACCCAATCCCTGAAGGACTCTCAAATCGCGGCAATACTAGGCGAAAGGATCCGCCTCGGTCCGCCTCCAGGGCCGATCCGTATCCAACTTTTTGTACCCACAGGATTAACCTGAATAACAAAGCTTACGGAGAGTTGGATGTTTTCAAGTATTGGATAGGTTAGACATGGAATAGAAAGACATATTGGAGTCTCCGATAAGAACATATATTTCCCGTATCAGGATTAACGGATTGATCCTGATCCTGTAGAATCGCGGATAAACGTTCTGCCGAACAGGGAAGTGGTCGACAGGTCTGCCTTTCTGAATATTTATTCTTCATCACCTGTTTCATCCATCAGAGACCTGGTATCCTATTTTTGGATCATGATTTAATCTCTTTTGAATTCGGTCGCATCATCTACCCAGACAAGACTAATAGTTCCACAGGTAGGGTCTAAGGCTGTGGCGCAGAGAGCTGTGGGTCGGATTTCTGTCCATCACGGATCTCTTCTTCGATCCGAAAATCCGTTCAGGATCAGGATCAGGATCGGGATATGTTCTGCCTACAGAGTACGAGTACGGAGTACTAGGCAGCTACTTCCTTCCATACCTCCCACTAATGTCTGGCATCGATCTTACACTGCCTGACTCTTAAATCCTGTTTTTGCACGATTTCTACAAATGTTCCTAGGGTACTCTTCAGTCTATATTTTGTTGAGTCTGTTCTTATATACCTGGCACGTACTTCAATTATTCTAGAACTCTACACGAAAACCGCCTGTCCTCATTTACCGCTTTCATTGTTGAACCATTCCATCAACATCAACCGGAATACCACGCAATTCGTATCCTTCTTGCATCGCAACCTGCCACTGCTTCTTGACAATTTCAAGCCTCTCTGCGCTCCTGGGCACAAATCTGGCAGCAAAGGGCTTGGGAATGGTGAATCCACCATCGGGATACGCATTATCACTTAAGTCCATATCTACTTCAACTCCGTCCACCACTGGCGGTCGAATGTCAAAAGCCCATAACATGCCACTGAGGGCTATGTCGAGCGAGCTCTCCGCGAGACGAGCACCGGGACATGTTCGTCTACCCGTGCTGAAGGTAAAATGATCTCGCTTGTACGGGTCGCTCATAGCTGCATACTCAGAGCTGTACATCTTATGCTCGAGGAAGCGCTCCGGCATGAATTCGAAAGGCTTTTCGAATCGTGTCGGATCATAGTGTAGGAATGCTGTATTGGCAAGAAGCACGGTTCCCTTGGGAATGACATAGTTTTTGTACACGACGTCCTGATCTGCGTAGTGACGGATACCTGGGGCGAGGATGGGGTTCATGCGAAGCATCTCCTTCACGCAGGCGCGAATATAAGGGAGGCTAGGCATGTCCTCAAATTTAGGAAGACGATTTGGCCCAACCACTCTCATTAGCTCATCGTGAGCGGCTTTTTGCGCACGCGGACTCGCAGCAAGGTGAAGAACAAGACTGTTCAAAGTCGCAGCGGATGTTTCGAAACCAGCCTCAACAAGACCACCAGCAACCCAGGCGAGATCCTCGTCATTAAGACCCTGATTGTACCAGTAATCTTTGTTTTCGATGATGCTTCGTGCAAAACAGTGAGGTGCTTTCCCAGTCTCGAACTGGTTTTCCAGCCGGCGCCATAACCCCATCTTGATACCAAGGACCTCCTTGGCTGCTTCGATCGCATCCTTTCGTCCAGGCTGAAGCCACTTTGGCAGAAGAGCCAATGGTGGAAACTCATCAACCAGGAAGGCGCCGGGCCTTGAGGTTCGTCGCAGCACCGCTTGACTGCGCACTGCATTCTGCGCATCGGGATGATCCCAGTTCTTCACACGCGTACCGAATGTGTTGGTCATGATAATGCTAAACGCATACCTCCGCATATGCTGATAAAAGTTTCGCTGGTTGTCGTTGTCCATTGCAAGGTCGAAAAGCAACTGTTTTGTCTCGAATTCTTGGCTGGGCACGAATGTTGCCGTCATGGGGACAGTTGTGACTTGGCGCACCACTGATCGCTGCGCCCGCCAATGCGGTCCGTAAGGCATAGTTGGCATGCGCTTACCACCGGTGACTATGTCGTGGCCCATCGGAGAAGGCGCCTTAGAGGAAGTCTTGACAGCTTGCTTCTCGAGAATCTCCCGTACTGCCTCAGGGGTGTTGATCACGACCCAGTTGTACCAACCGACACGGATTTTGAAAACTTCGCCATGTTCCTGGGCCCATTTGCGGAATAACGCAGGCGCTTTAGCAGGGAGTTTGTAGCCCACGCCGAATAGCGGGTACGTTTTAGGCCCTGGGATGGAGTCTAGTCTGCGATCCCGACGAATCAATGCTATTAGAACGAAGAAAATCCCGGAAATGATAGACAGGACAAGCAATCGATTGCTGTAAAGAAAGGGTATTTGGTCCATGCTCGCTTTTGAAGTTTTGAGGACAAATGATGGGTTCTGGCAAATCAATAAATTGCCATCAGCTGCACTTCATACATGAAACTTGTAACCACTTGGTGAAGGAAAAGACCTTTCTGCTGTTCCTACTCAGGGCTTGCTAAGTCCCCGTCGGCCTAGCATATCTTTCGCGATGACCGGGTTTCAATCGGGTTTCAATACGAATACCGGGGTTGGTAGGGAGGCCAATCTGAAACAATGTTCTCGTCAATAATAACGATAATCATAAGAATAAGCAAAGAAATAATGCGTTGGCCTCGGTTTTTTTCTTGAAGAAGCCACTGAGTTCGGGTCAATCCCGCGGGATGTCGAGCGTAGTCCCTCATGCAACATTGAATAGCCTTCGGTAAATACAAATGAACTGGAATAATCCAAGTTAGAATTGCCCGAATGAAATATCTTGTCAAGTGAGAAAAGGATCAAAATTTTTTTTAAGCAACTATGGGCAGCTCAGAGCCTTCCAACATCCTCATTGTGGGCGCTGGCCCCGTCGGACTCGCCTTAGCCCTAGACTTGGGTCGACGCGGCATTCGTTCAACAATAGTCGAGCGCAATCCTAGTGCGGAAGAGACGCTCCAAGCCAAAGCAAGCGTTATCGATGAACGGACTATGGAGTTCTGCCGGCTGCTCGGTGTTCATGACGATGTTGCCAATGCAGGCTACCCTGATGACCTTCCTGGCGATACTGTCTTCTGCACAGCAATGAATGGCCACTATATTGGTCGTCTCGAGATGCCCTCTGCTAAGACACGCGAAGTCCCAGAACAATCTGCCGAGATGCTGCGGCGTTGTCCGCAGATGTGGTTCGATCCAGTATTTGCACGAGCCGTGCATCGTCAAGGAATGACAGATATTCAATACGGCATGGAACTCCTTGGATGTGATCAAAATGAAAATTACGTGATCGGCCACCTTAGACGTCTCTCTGATGGCGCCTTGGAAGATGTGCGAGCACAGTACGTTGTCGCGTGCGATGGTGCTGGTAGCACTTTGCGAAAACAACTCGATATTCCCTTCGAGGGCAAGAGCCTTGGATATGCGATCAGCTCAATTGTGCGAGTTGATCTCTCAAAATACCACTCCTGGAATTCTGCAGAGCGCTTCATGTTCATCGGTCCTGACGGCACCTGGGGAAACTTCACGACAATCGACGGTAGGTCACTCTGGCGGTTCTCCATCGTCGGTGGCAAGGAAAAGGTCGATCTTTCAACCATTGACATGGACGCCTTGCTGCGAAAGGCTCTTGGGGGCGATGCACCCCAGTACGAAATTATCAAAACGGTCCAGTGGCGACGAAGCCAGTATACCGCAGACACTTACAACAAAGGACGGATCTTCCTTGCTGGAGATGCCGCTCATACGATGTCACCCACTGGAGGCCACGGTCTAAATACAGGCATCGCAGATGTGATGGGCCTTAGCTGGGTATTGCAGGCCCTAATCGAAGGATGGGGAGGACCCGGTCTGATCGACGCATACACTGCCGAACGACGACCCATCGCCATTCGCAATGGAGCGGGATCTACTCGCAACTTTGGAATTTGGATCGACACAAATGGGCGCGACAAGGTCCTTGATGAAGGACCGGATGCGGACGAACAGAGAGAAAATCTGGGCAAGAACATGGCCGCCAACATGCGCCAGGAGTTTCAGTCACTAGGCCTAGCTTTGGGGTACAGTTACCCTGAGTCGCCACTGATTGTCCCTGATGGCTCTCCCGCGCCATTAGATGACCCAGATATCTACATCCAGACCGCTCGCCCCGGTCATCGTGCCCCACATTACTGGTTGAGCAAGGGACGCTCAACGATCGATCTCTTCGGGCGTGGCTTTGTCCTCCTTTGCCTTGGTGAGGAGGCCGAGAGAGATGGTGAAATCATGCGAGCTGCACGGGAGCTGCGTGTACCGCTTGATAAAGTTGTTCTCAACCAGCCTGAGGTTGGTAGGCTCTATGAACGGCGGCTTATTCTAGTTCGCCCAGATGGAATGGTTGCTTGGCGTGGAGAGGCGCTTCCTGATGATTCCCAGGCACTTCTTAATCATGTTAGAGGAGCCGGTCCCGCTGTAGCTTAGAAATGGAGATGGCCTGTTTTGGAATGCAGAGATGACAGCATCAACGTGTTCGAACTTGCTGGACACAGATTTTACCACAGAATTTACGTATCCTCATCAACCAATTTTATGCGACGTAATTAAGTCTTTGGTTGGTATTTTCAGATGTCGTTTTGAATGCCTTTCTATATCTCCTCACAGATAGTTTTCTAAATGTAATCTTTTGGGTACTTCTTCCCTCTGTTAGTGCTATAGCCAAAAGGGCGAGAAGAATACGGCCTCAAAATTTAGAACATATGCAGTAAACCCCATGTTATTCATGCCACCAAATCCAACAATATTGCCTCTGGTTATGTCTACATTTCTAGTATTCTCAGCGAGCTATATATCAGAAGAGGATGGCATGGATTGGTATCCTTGATGATGGAGTCATCAGGGGTGGGTGAACGTAGCGTACGATACCAACGATGTCTTCATGGAAGACGCAGGTCCAGAAAGTATAGACAGGCCCAGACAATCACAACGGACGAATGGATATCGGGTTTCATCTCGGGGTTGGTCTCGGTTTTGGCTTTCTTACGTGAGTCCTCTCGGGGGCGCTGCGCAGGTGGAGATCGGTATGGGATTTCCTCTAACCACATCTGCAACATCAACATCTGTTTGGTGATACCGGGCTCAAGCTCCTCCACATTTCATATCACTGGCAAATGGCATTGTTGATTTCATACACCATGCAGAAGTACCCCGATCCCCGAGACGGGGGCATTGTTGTGCTAGGTGGCACTTTGATACCCGGATATGTTCAAGTTGACCCCGAGATGAGGCTGGTTTCCATGCATATCCCGGACACTTGATGAGAGTTAGTTTTATTAAAGGAGTCAGATCTTGAAAGGAAACATCTCAAGTCGTCCTCCACTTGCGGCCCAAACTCCTTTCAAACCCACCCATATGCTCCCGTCGTTTGATTGCTAAGTTCGAGTATATCCATAATGGCAGGTCATTTGAAGTTATATCTCTTCGGAGACCAGACCTATGATCTTCAAACGCACTTGAAAGATCTGCTTCAGAAGAGGAACAACCCCGTCGTCGAACATTTCCTTGTCAGATCCTATGATGCTGTACGTGCCGAGATTTTCAAGCTTCCACCCTCTATCAGGGAGGCTTATCCGCGGTTCACATGTGTCGACGATTTGATTATGTGGAACCAAAATGGAGAGAGACTTGTTCCTCTAGACATGGCTGTTACTTCCATCTATCAGCTTGGGATGTTCATCAGTCAATCCGATCCTGGTGACTTCTTCGCAGGCAAGGCCCTTGTGCTTGGTCTTTGCACCGGATCTCTAGCAGCCGCGGCTGTAGCATGCAGCCACAGCGTTGTCGATCTCGTACCGTTGGCGGTCAGCGCTGTTGTGGCATCTTTCAAGACCGGTGTACTTGTCAATGAAGTTGCCCACCGCGTGGCTTCACCACAAGAGTCAGATCAGAGCTGGTCAGTCCTGATCCCAGGATCCAAGAGCTCTGAGGCCATTCATGAATTCTGTGCACAAACTGTGAGTTACTTACTTCCCCTACCCGAACTTGAACTTTGAAAGCTTATATGGTTCCTATAGGCTATGCCATTGACGAGCAAGCCGTATATCAGCGCCTACTCTCCCAACGGTATTACCGTTAGTGGGCCGCCTAAGTCCCTCGCGCACCTCAAGCAATCCAAGCAGGGCAAGGATCTGATCTTCAAAGAGATCCCCATCTATGCGCCATACCATGCGTCGCATCTGTATTCTATGCTCGACGTCGCCGATGTTATTGGTGACCTTGCCTCTGAGGAGGTTTCTCAGTGTTTGGAACAAGTTCCGGTCTTTTCAAGCACCGGAGAGAAATCCTCTTCACGCAATTTTGGGTCGCTTCTGGAGTCTGCTGTGAAGCAGATCTTGCTGCAGACCATTAACTGGAGTGATGTGCTCGGGGAGCTTCAGGCTTATCTTCAAAGTGCGGCCCCGCAGTCATTTAGTGTTGTCCCCATTGGAAGCACAGCTCACCAGCTAATCTACACTGCTCTAAAGCAAACCTCGCTACGGACTTTGGTGCCATCTAGTCAGTCTCAGGATGCATCACCTTCTGCTCCTATTGATTTCAATGGCTCTCAGGAGAAGTCCAAGCTGGCCATCATTGCCATGTCAGGACGCTTTCCTGGAGCTAAAGACAACGAGGCATTCTGGGATGTCCTTTACCAGGGCCTAGACATGCACAAGCCAGTCCCGGCTTCTCACTGGGACGTCAACACACACGTTGACCCCACCGGAAAGACAAAGAATACTAGTGCATCACCATTTGGCTGCTGGCTTGATGATCCGGCTGGATTTGATGCGCGCTTTTTCAACATATCTCCGCGAGAGGCGCCTCAGATTGATCCCGCCCAGCGACTGGCCCTTATGACTGCATACGAAGCAATTGAACAAGCTGGACTTGTTCCAGATGCTACTCCTTCAACCCGACGTGATCGTGTCGGAGTCTTCTACGGCGTTACTAGCAACGACTGGATGGAGACGAACAGTGCACAGAATATTGACACATACTTCATCCCCGGTGGCAACAGGGCTTTCATTCCCGGCCGGATCAACTACTGCTTCAAGTTCAGTGGTCCGAGTTATGCAGTGGATACTGCCTGCTCATCTAGCCTGGCTGGTATCCACCTTGCGTGCAACTCGCTCTGGAGAGGAGACATTGATACTGCCATCGCCGGTGGTACTAATGTTCTGACCAACCCAGATTTTACTTCTGGTCTTGACCGGGGTCACTTCCTTTCGCGAACTGGAAACTGCAAAACATTTGACGATGACGCTGATGGCTACTGCCGTGGCGAGGGTATCGGGACAGTTATCATTAAGCGGCTTGACGATGCTATCGCCGACAAGGACCCTATTCTCGGTGTGATCCTCGGCGCTTCCACAAACCACTCTGCCGAGTCGGAGTCTATTACCCGACCTCACTCCGGGGCCCAGCGTGCAATCTTCAAGAAGATTCTCAACCAAGCCGCTGTGGATCCATACAGCGTTAGCTATGTGGAAATGCATGGAACGTAAGTAACCTCACCACACATTCATGAAGCAGTACTTACTATAATACAGAGGTACTCAGGCGGGCGATGCCGGCGAAATGACCAGTGTGCTAGACACATTTGCCCCGGCGCTCTCGGAGGTCCCCAAGGGCCGGACAGAAGAGCAAGCTCTTTACTTGGGCTCAGCAAAGGCAAACATTGGCCACGGCGAGGCCGCCTCCGGTGTCTCGGCTCTGATCAAGGTGCTCCTGATGATGCAGAAGAACATGATTGTCCCGCACTGCGGTATTAAGACCAAAATCAATTCCAAGTTCCCGACCGATTTGAAAGAGCGCAATGTCAATATCGCGCTAAAGCCAACGGCGTGGGAGAGAGGTACCGACGCTTCTAAACCTCGTCGGGTCTTCGTGAATAACTTCAGCGCAGCTGGTGGTAATTCTGCACTCTTGATTGAGGACGCCCCAGTCCGGAACAAGCTGCCCATTACCAACCTTGATCCCAAAACCGTGCATCTGGTCGCGGTGTCAGCTAAAGCTGGAAATTCTCTCCAGGGCAATCTGCGCTCTCTCCTTGCTTACTTGAAGCAGAACCCCGAAGTCCCTCTGGGTGAACTCTCATACACCACCACAGCCCGTCGGATGCATCATAAACACCGTGTCATGCTTGCTGGCTCAAATATGACCAATATCTGCACTCAGATCGAGACTGCACTCCGGGACAGCCTAGGGATGACCCGGCCAAAGAACGCCCCGAAGGTGGTTTTCACCTTCACTGGCCAGGGTGCCCAGTACCCGGGTATGGGCAAGGACTTGTGTAAAACCTTCTCCCTCTTCCGCACTGAGATCGCCCGACTCGATCAGATCGCGCAGAGTCTGGGATTCCCCTCTTTCCTACCTGTCATTCAGTCCGATGAACCAGACATTGGCACCTTCGACCCGACTGCCGTCCAGCTGGCCAGCGTCTGCATGCAGATTGCACTTAGCAAGCTGTGGGCATCGTGGGACATTTTCCCCACTGCTGTTGTAGGTCACAGTCTCGGTGAGTATGCCGCACTGAATGTCGCAGGGGTGCTCTTGGATGCAGAAACCATATACCTCGTTGGTAAGCGGGCTGAGATGCTCCAAGAGAAGTGCACACGCGACACCCATTCCATGCTTGTTGTGCGGGGATCAGTGGAGCAGATTACCGAGGTCCTCAAAGATCAAGACTACGAGACAGCCTGCATCAACTCACCTGTTGAGACTGTGCTTGCTGGAACAAAGGAGAAAGTTCTAACCTTGAAGGAAATTCTTACAGACGCCGGCATGAAGTCCACCCTGCTGAAGGTCCCCTATGCCTTCCACTCCTCCCAGATCGACCCCATCATGGCCGACTTTGCAGATGTCGCCAAGGGTGTCACTTTCTTCAAGCCTAAGATCCCAGTTTTGTGTCCCTTGGAGGGAACTGTGGCTACAGAAAATGAGTTTACCCCTCTCTACCTCGCTCTTCATGCCCGCAAATCCGTCAATATGTTCAAAGCGCTCCAAGCTGGCTACAGCAGCGATCTTCTGACGGAGCAAACTATAACGATTGAGATTGGTCCTCACCCAGCCATCTCTGGCATGGTTAAGGCTGTTCTAGGTTCCCAGATGATCACTCTTGCCTCTGCACAGCGTGCCCATTCAGTGTCCCAGGTCCTTACCACCGCATTGAAGACTCTTTACACTGCAGGGGCCGATATCAACTGGGCCGGCTACCAGCGTGACTTCAAGTGCTTCCACAATGTTCTTCGTATGCCGGCATATAGCTGGGATCTGAAGGAATTCTGGTTGCAGTATGTGAATGACTGGTCCCTGCGCAAGGGCGACCCGCCTACGACAATTACCGCTGGTCCAAGCCTGGAAAGCACAACCATCCACCGCATCGTGGAGGAGTCTGGCAACTCAGCCAAGACTATGATCATCGTCGAGGCTGACATTGCGCGCAAGGATCTCAGTCCACTGGTCCAGGGCCATGAAGTTGACGGGATCCCTCTCTGCACACCATCGGTATATGCGGATATTGCCTTGACTCTGGGTACCTATCTAATCAAGCGTTACCATCCCGCCCAAGAGGACAATCTTGTCGATGTGTCGGACATGACTATTTCGAAGGCTCTGATCTTGAAGAATGGGGCAACAGAACAGCTTCTTCAAGCCCATGGTGAGGCAGATTGGGCATCTCAATCCGCGCTAGTCAAATTCATGTCATTTGACGTGAGTGTTCCTTCTTCACCCTTATTTATTCACTGTGAACAATATGCTAACTTAAGCACAGAGCAAGGGAAAACTTCAGGAGCACGCCCGCTGTGTGATCCGATTCAAGGACCGCAGTCTCCAGGAGTCTCTCCAGAATGCCGCCGGCGAAGTCAAAGCCAAGATGCAAGCTCTGCGTGACGGTATTGCTCGTGAGACAGCTGCCCGTTTCAACCGTCCCATGGTGTATCGCGCTATCCGTCCTCTCGCTCGCTTCCACGACGACTACCGGGCCATTGATGAGGTTGTTCTCAACAGCACTACTTTGGAGGCTTCTTCGCGTCTCAGCTATGGCACTGTCAAGAGAGGTGGTCAATATCACACGCACCCCGCCATTATTGACTCCCTCACTCAGTCCTGTGGTTTCACCATGAACTGCAATGACCGCACAGACCTTGACAACGAGGTTTTCATGAACCATGGCTGGGGCTCGCTCCAGCTCTTCGAGCCCATTGACTTCGACAAGTCGTACACCACCTACACCCGCATGGAGGAAGGTAAGGATAAGTTGTGGCACGGTGATGTTGTTATCTTTGACGGTGACAAAGTCGTTGCTTTCTTCGGACAAATCTCGGTAGGTTCCCTATCTGTTCTCAATATTTATGATTCAAATGTACTGAATATCTCTAGATCCAAGGCGTTCCTCGCCGGGTGCTCAAGGTCATTCTTTCTCTCGAGAGCGGTGCTAAGTCGCAGAAGCCGCAGCAGCCAGCCAATGCAAAGCCGGCTTCTACTCCTGCCCCAGCTCCAATTGTAGCCAGCACCCCTGCTCCCCAGGCCTCTCAATTCTTAGCAGCCTTGGTGATTATTGCGGATGAGAGTGGCCTCAGTGTCGATGACTTGACCGATGGTACCGTTTTTGGGGATGTTGGTATCGATTCTCTTCTAGGTCTCACCATCTCAGCCCGCTTCAAGGAGGAGCTCGATCTTGACCTTGACTTCAATGCCTTTTTCTTTGAGTATCCCACCGTCGGTGATCTCAAGAGAATGCTGGGCGGATCCAGCTCTGGTTCCATAATCTATCACGCACCATCCTCGACTGTGTCTAGTGACGCTGGCATGGATACACCCGACAGCATCGGAACAGGCGCTACCACGCCTATTTTATGTGAGAGCAAGGTTGATATAAAGCGTGCGCTGGAGATCATCTCCGAGGAAAGTGGTGTGGCCATGGATGATCTTACTGATGATACAAACTTCGCTGATTCAGGTGTGGACTCTCTTTTGTCTCTCGTCATCGTGAGTCGGTTCCGCGAGGAGCTAGATTTAGATATCCAACATGAATCTCTCTTCCTTGAATGCCCTACGGTTGCCGATCTGAGACAGCTATTGGTGGGCGATGTGACCGTCAATGAACCTGTCGAGGTGAAGTCATCAGCTTCTGTGCCTGCTATTCAGCAGATCATTGAGCCTAACTTCAAGGATGAGCATCCCGCGCTTGACCCAATTGCTCAGGCTGTTCGCAGGAAGGCCGTTACTGACTATGTGGACAAATACACTGCTGGCTTCTCTCTCCCTACCCCTTCGCCCTCGGCCATTGCACCATTGGCCAATGAGAAGGTCGTCCTGGTGACTGGAGCATCAGGTAGTTTGGGAAGCAACCTTGTTTACCATCTCGCTCAGCTCCCAGACGTCTCAAAGATTGTCTGTCTCAACCGCGAGAATCGAGCTGAGCCCGAGGACCGCCAGCAAAAGGCTATGCGGGGCAAGGGCATCCGATTTCCGGAGGCTCTCAAGCATAAGCTTGTTGTGATACAGACCGACAGCGCTAAGCCAATGCTTGGACTTGCAAAGAGTCAATACGACAATCTCGCTGGCTCTGTTACTCACCTGATTCACCAAGCGTGGCCCATGAGTGCCAAGCGTGCGCTTTCTGGGTTCGAGTCGCAGTTCCAAGTTATGCGCAACCTGATTGATTTCGCATGCGACAGCAGTTCCCTCCGCCCTGCCTCCTTCAAATTCAGTTTCCAGATGGTTTCCTCCGTTGGCGTCGTGGGTCACTATCGCCTCGGCGACAAGACGGAAAGAATTATGGTTCCAGAGGAGAGTGTCGATATCGACAGTGTCCTGACCAACGGCTACGGAGAAGCCAAATGGGGTTGTGAGCTGATGCTGAACCGTACAATCCAGCAACACCCCGATCAATTCCGCACAATGATCGTCCGGTTGGGACAGATTGCTGGATCCAGTACCAGCGGCTACTGGAATCCCATGGAACATTTCGGATTCCTGATCAAGTCATCCCAGACTCTCAACGCCCTGCCTGATGCTCCTGGTACTGTTTTCTGGACTTCAGTGAATGAAATTGCGGGCACTTTGTCTGATCTTGTCCTTGCCGAGAACAATCCCTATCCAATTTACCACATTGAGAATCCGGTTGGCCAGCCCTGGAAAGAAGTTAATGCCATCTTGGCTGATGCTTTGGGTATCAAGAACCTGATTCCTTTCGAGGAATGGGTTGCGCGCGTGAAGGCTGCACCTCAGCGGAATAACCCTGCTTCTACCTTATTGGAGTTCTTGGATAGCAATTACCTTCGCATGTCTTGCGGTGGGCTTGTGCTGGATGTTAAGAACACACTTGAGCATTCCAAGACTCTTGCCGCGGTAGGACCTGTCAGTGAGGAGGTCGTGAGGAAGTATATTCATATCTGGAAGGAGATTGGCTTTTTGAGCTCATAATCTAAATAGATGTATACGGTGTATTTATTTTGATTTTGTTTTGATTTAATAACATTGGTGTTTTATACTTGAGAGCATATATTTGTAAAGTAATAGGAGCAACAAAATGTATACTGTCTGTATAGTAAATGGGCATGACGTCTAATAATCCTCTCTCGTTTACTAAGTAAAGTCGATTTGTCGACCTACTTAAATAGGATGATATCTGAAAAGGCCACTAGACATACAATTGAAAGGACCACTGAAAACACTACTGAGAAGACTGAAAAGACTTCATAGATCCGCTTACACAGCCGACTATTCGTATCCCAGCTTTATTTGCAAATAAAAAACACAAAAACATACAATAGTAAGGATTCGCTGGTGGTCACCCGCCCAACTACTAACTTACCGGCGTGTGGCTTTGGCGTGGACCACTCGCTTGTGTGGACCATTCGCATGTGAAATACGTTAATTAATTATATGATTAGTATTAATATTAAAATTAATACCTAGAGAGTCACTTTTAGACTTATCGGTTATAACTAGAGTCCTCTAGAAACTAGTAAATATAGGTAAGAATAGGTAAGTAAAAGGTATTATTAGTAAAGAGCTTATAGGGTAAATTTGATAGGTAAATAAATGGTATTTAAAGAACACGGTACTAGAAATTCTAAATTTTATTAAAGCTTACCTATTTTTACTAGGAATCCTATGCTTCCTAGATATATTTTACCCTACGACCCTATAAGCTCGAAAACTGATAAGAAGTAATACTATAACAAACCGGTAAAAAACTGGTAATCACGTCTTAAATTCTAGAAAATACCAGATCCATTTACCCTGCGACCCTGCGACCATGTCATTCTCACCCGTCATCTCCTGGCTCCGCATCTTCGAGTTCAAGCGCATTCTCGGAAACTACTAAACTAGAAACAATGCGACTCTCCGGTCAGAATTGTTGGGCTTGTAAATCGACACCGCCAGAGATCTGTCCTGTGGTTGCCCAAGAAGACACGCAGGTAGAATTTATATTTTCTGTCTGTTCAAGAATGAGCTGACAATTCTCTATCTAAGCAGACATATGGGAACAAGCCGGGCTGTTTACTCTCTCGTATAAACTCTACTTCAAACGCGATTCCTCTTTGTCCAACCTGCCATACTCAATTTTATCGAGCCATTGATCCTGGATACGTCTTCTTCCACGCTGGTCTCGAGTTTTTTATTCATTTCAAAATGGAAGATCGTGAACGGCACCGGATCGCCGAAGAATCTGGTTACCCAATAAGGCGAAGGGTCCCAACAGCTATTGAATACCGAATACACCAGCAGGAGAGTGGCATGGTTTCGTCAGATGCTATCGGTGGTCTATACAGACGCGTATTCTTAAAGGAGTTCCTACTCGGTGGCGAGATTCCGGAGATAGTGCGGATGATTTCCACACCTAAAGAGTGGCATGGGGATCCGATGGCTTCGATTAGAAGGGCTATGGGCTATTGCGGCGCTCGGAAGCCCGCGTTCTTATCTTGTTGACCCCAAAATCCGGAATGACATTGAAAGTCTGGTGATGAATTTAAGAGCCCGGCCGATATACGTATTCGTGAGATCTACAAACTGGATTCTCAACTGGAGAACAAGCGGCATTTAGAAGAGCAAGTTAACCAAACTGGGGGTACTGTAGTCATGTTTCTTTTAGTCACTTGAATATATCAAAAGGCAAATGGGGGATGGTAAAAGCGTATCTTTACAATGCACGTACATAAAGCAGGTATGCAGGTAGCCCCTCGCATTCGTTATTTTTAGGACCTTTTATAATGTACCTTGTCAGCCGTCTGGCCTCATCTGTCGTAAGAAGCTCTTTATCCAGAACCATCTCATCTCTTGCTCCTGGATATATTCTTCAAGGTACCAATTAAAACTATTACATTCGAATGGCTGGAAACCACTCTTGCAGAACTACGTATCAACTCTCGTGAGTGTCTTCATCCTCTCGGGCTGAACAATCACTAGTAATGGTATGGGTACCGCAGCTAGAAGTACAAACGCCAATAATGAGTTCCCCCAACCATACCCGAGCTTGGAATACATATATGGAGCGGCGACAGGGAGAAAGGCCCCTGCGACATAACGAAGAGGCAGGACGGCGGCGATAGCGGAGGCAGAGCGGTCGCCAAAGATATCTACCAGGTAGTTCATAATCGGGGTAGTGCTACTCGATAGCGAAAAGCCGCATAGAACAGTAGCGATGGTCGGGACGATCCAATGATAGCGATAATGGAGGGACCATCCGTATACCAGCAGGCCGACAGGGAAGGCGACCATGGCCGGGATTATAGGTATGAGACGGTTTTCAGGACGCGGCGTACAATCGCCAGGACTTGTGCGTGAAAGCCCGCGAATTAGGAAGTAATCAAGAGTGAAAGTGCACATAAGAGCCCCACTGAGCGTGCCGATGGCTTTCGAGAATTTAGATTATTGCTGGGTCTGGAAATGGAGGCTCCCTGAGATTGGTCATGACTTACTCAAAGCAATATAGATAAGGCCGGAGTGACTCTCAGAGAAGCCATAGACTTCCTGGAAGACAGTTGCAGTGGTAGCGGCAAGGAGCGAAACATAGCCGAATAGTATTGACAGATACAAGCCCATAAGCACTGCAATTCGGGAACTGCTTAGGATGACAAAAGGGCGTATCGTGAGTAAGGCAAGACCTTTGAAAGTTGCCCAATTCCACCCCGTGAAGTACTTCGATGTTGAGCTGACCTTTTCTTGGTTGGAGCTGTCCTTCTGAAGCGCCTTCCGTCGTATTACTGGCACATATGACTCTTTCAACACAGCAGCCATGATTAGCGACAGACAGGCGGTGACGATAGCCATGAGCCAGAAAGTCCAACGCCAGCTCAGATACTGTGTAATGTAGCCTCCCAGAATGGGACCCACGGCACTGCCAAGGATAGGGATCATACTGGTGAGCGACATGGCGGTTCCCCGCTTCTTTACGGCAAATAGATCGCCCGTAATTGCTGGATTAAGACAAATTGAGGCGACAGATGCGCCGGTGAGAAACCTGAACACAATGACCATGGCGAGGCTGTTACTGAAGCTTGTGACCATGGTGAATATGAGGAACAGGAGATTGAAGAAGTGACAAATCGGCACACGCCCGAAACGTTCAGACAATGGGCCAATATAGAGCGGGGCGATGACTTCACCGAGATTCGGAACAGTTATGTAAAAGACCAAAAGAAAGCTGTCGTAATTGTTGAATTGCTGGGCAATGGCAGAGCTTGCTGGAGTGCAGATGACGAGAGACATGTTGCTGAAGAGGGCATCAGTGCATAAATCCTGCCATAGAAACACTGTAACTTACACCACTAGTGACATCAAGGATAAAGCGATCAAGATGAGCCACTTCTGCTTGGTGGACCAGTTCTGTGGCATCGAGGGGTTTATGTCCTCATCCACGTTCGCGGTGGCGATTGCTTTCTTCGTCCCATGCTCTGCATCCACTGTCAGAGCGTTAGGCGACATGGGTGTCGAAGGAACAGTAGCGCCTAACAAGTCTTTGCTGGATCCCTCCATGACAGTGTTAGTCCCTTTTGCTTTCCTGTCTTTTTTCCTTTCTTTTTCCTTTTTAGAAAAAAAGGAAAGTAAAGAAAAGAGAGAGAAAAAGAGTGGGAAGAAACTACACTGATTGTAAATATATTATAAGATCTATTATAAATTACTTTTACACTTCTAAATGTAGTCTAATCTCGTATATTTGTTCTAACTGACGTGCTTTCTAACAATTGGTTATGTACAGATATAAAAAGAGGTCCATGGATATACGGGACTCCACAGCGGCCCGTCACCCGTCGGTCCTCCGTCCAAAGGTCAGAAATATCGATCATGATAGGGAAGTGTGACTAACTCAGCCCTAATCCAGGATAATTGACATTCTTTCACTAGAGGCGAAACTAATTCCTGGCGGAGCCAAGTTACACCAGAATGCGGTAGTCGGTCCTAGTAGGTGTTTAGTATACACGCTAGCTACAACGCGATGTCACTGCCCGCTGCCGCCTCAAGGCTAGTCTAAAAGGTTTGAGATTCGCCATACTTTTCTAAGCCTAGATTAGAAAATGAAAAAGAAACAGAACCGCACAACCACCCGACAGCAACAACAAAGAGCAGCCCTGGCAATACCTGGGCGAGAATCTACATTTTCGCTGAACCCAGAATAATGATGAGGCTCCGTGTAGTTAAAATAAAAGGGTTCTCTATGTATGTTCGCTAATATTGCGAAATATCACTACCGTCGGGTGTGGAGTGCTTAGACTGAAACAACAAGGTCTCCAGAAAAACAAATTAAACAAAAAGTTGACCTTTGACACGATGTCCCCGCAAGTTGGACAGTCATGTCCACGACGCTTGGAATTGGAATTGTCAAGCTCGACCAAAGCAGCAACCAATTTTTTCGCCGAAATTTCTGCCTTATTGGCCCCTCTACTTGGTGTGCTGACATCCAACCCACAAGCCGTGTTACTGCTCTGCATTTTCGCGCCTCAAACTGCTGCCCGGGACCTCTTCACTATGATCGGCCTGCAATACTCCAGTGCCAAATACTCTCTCCCCTACAGCCGAGGAAACGTGCTTCTGTCCATTTTCCAAGGCGCCCATGGTTTGTGTGTCCTCGTGCTACTTCCCTTAGTCACCCACTTCATCGCCGACCGACGGGGATGGACCGCCTGGGCTCGTGACCGCCTATACTCCATTGCGTCCATGACGGCGACGGCATCCGGCCTAATTATCATAGCTGTTGCACCAGCTTTGGCGATTGAGGCCACAGGGCTGCTGCTCGTGGCGGTTGGCAGCTGTACAACAGGGTTTCTGATGAGTTTGTTAGGCGCAGCAGTGCAGCCGGGTGAGGTGAGCTTAGTGTACAGCACGGCGCTGATGCTCAGCATTGTGGTACGGAGTCTTATGGGACCAGTGGCTAGTATGCTGTTTGTGAAGGGCCTGGAGCTGGGGCGGCATTGGATGGGCCTGCCATTCGCAGCAGCGGCTGTGCTGATGGCAGGTATGGCTATAGCGAGCGGCTTCATCTGTTTAGAGAAGAAGGATCCTGTCGAAGAGCACTCTTTTTAAACTGGCATTCTCCAAGGAAATTTGTCATTAACTGTCGAAATATATAGATACGCGTAAATATATTAGGAGCTGCCTTTTACCTAAAATCTGGTACATGTTCATAGGTTATAATAGATACTCCATAGATAACAGACTATACAATGAATATAATACAAATTTCCTATCTACTAGCAATAAGTACTTACTCGGTTCAACGCACGACTCAATGCGTTGGTATATACTTAATATAGGAAAGCAATGTCCTGAACATTTTCCCCTCGTGTACGACAATTTCCCCTAACCATAAAAACGTCATCTTCCGGGCTAGGATCTTCTAAGGTTCGTTTGCTATAGATGAGTTTCTTGGTTAGCAAACGAAAAGAACTGCTAAGGATGCCAAAAGAGGGGAGTGATCCTAGCTTATTCCTCTGAATCCCTGGTCCTCATTGATTGTCCTAATTTTCTATTTTTTCATTCTCGGAGCCTACCAAGGTATACGTATACTCTTAGATCGAAACCTCCGTATCCGCAAAGCGCCTGTCACTCATCTAATCCCGCAATATCGAACAATGTTCACCTGCACGAGCTACTAGTAACAAATTTGGTATACAGTATCCGAAAATGGACAGCTAAAAATATACAAATACGAACACAGGTTGATTAAGGTCCGAACATCGTAATATATCACACGTGATAAACTAATACGAGGGACAGAATACTGGCTTGCATAAGAACTAAAACGGTTATTCTAACCGAGTCAGTATCAAGGTGTAGGTGAGGTTTCACTTTAGTAGTTCTGAATTTTCTTACTGCTAGCTAAAGAACTAGGTTAGGACGTCTGATTGACCAGAATGCAGTTCGAGGGAACCTCCTAGAGGTCAAGTTAACCGAATTTGGGGTGCTGCAGTCATGCTTCATTTTCAGTAGTTGGATAGATTAGAAGGCCAATGGATGATAAAAGCGTACCTTTCCCCTCCGGCGTGCCAGAACTACCAATCGAGGCGCAGGTGCTATAAAGTAGGGTCTTGGCTCTTCACGAAGTGTATAGTGCCCGGCAGACTCACAACATTGCTTGAATAGAAGCTGAAACTACCATTTTCTCTAATGATACGCTGAATTAGCAAGCTGAATTCTCAATACAAGAATTCTGATTTTCAGCTCTGAGTAATGCCTTCTAACAGAACCATCCAATGTTTCACCCATAAAACCCATCGGCTATTAACGCACATTATGAGCAAGTAAGCTGCATATTGACCTGTGGCCTCTCATGCGTAGCCTTCTGTTTCGCTGACAGTTACCCCTCGTCAGACATCGCGTGTCTGCCTATCGGTTACAACGCCCGTAAACCCAACTAACTAGTCGCTAGTCACTAGTCACTGGCCACCTTTGCTCACTTACTCAAGTATGCGTTCGAGTTTGCTTACCTTGCTTATTTGATTTTAGCCGACGGTGAAGCGTCTATAAATGGAGCCCAGCAAGGTCGGGTCGTTTTATTCATTTTCTGTTTTCTTTCTTTTGTCTTATCTTACTGCTCGACATCCAAGATCTCGCCACGGTTCCTAGTCAACTTAGGTTCAAAAGGCCCGGAAATATGAAAGCCGTTGTCTACACTGGCGACAAGAAGATCGTAATCAAAGATCGTGCAAAACCAGTCATTTCGGAGCCTACCGACGCTATCGTCAGGGTGCTACATACCACGATATGCGGGACAGACCTATACATTCTACAAGGCCACGTTCCATTATGTATACCAGGCTGTATCATCGGGTATAAAGGAGTCGGTATCATCGAGACCCTCGGCGCCGCTATTATGAACTTGACCGTCGGGTAAATGGTAATTATATCCTATATTACTAGCTGCGGGGTACTGGAACATACTCGAGCGTTGTTGATATTGTAGGTTTGATAAGACCCCTCCTATATTGTTATGCTCGTGCGAATACTTACCCACGAATAGATCAAGTCATATGCCGATGGTACCGTCGGAGGACCCTTTTTATGCAGTGTCTAGGCATTAGTGCTTTGCATAGCGTGTGTATATATAGATAATATAGACATTTTTCGATTGTAATATAGAAGATCTATAGACAGTTAGGCTCACAGATTGCAAAATACACTGAGTCTATAAAGACAGATAAGATCAATAAAATACAGGGCAGATATTGTCTAATGCCAGGAGTAGAACACAAAGTATCACGCGAGCACCTGAACGTGGTCTCAACATATACACGACTACAGATATACAATAGGAGACTTACGCGTACATGTTGTAAACTTTGTTCTTAGCAGTGCGAAGTCTCAACAAAATCAAATGAGCTGAGAGGTAATAAATATATGACCGTGATAGCTTTGATCTACAATGCAGCCTAGCAACATATAGTTTTTACGAGAACACTACGTTTCTCGAGGGAGGACCTTATATCTAGATCAAGACCTTATACAATACTAGGATCTGAAGGTCGGTCCGACAAAGTACGACTCATAGTTGGCAAACGATCATCAGAATTAATGATAACAGATGATGATAATGGTCTTTATCTACTACCATGGAGCCTATCTAAATAGCTTCATGGGAAAAGGAAACAAAAACACAAAACCTGGAAAGATCTAGCAAAAACAAAGGAAGATCTGTCACAAACTGCATGTAAAGCATAGAGACTTCTCAACGAATCAAAAATAACTAAAGACGAAAAAACATACAACAGTGAGGATTCGCTGGTGGTCACCCACCCAACTACTAACTCACCGGCGTGTGGCTTAAGTACGGCTGAGCGGACGGGAAGCCCTGTTTTCCACACCCTATGGTCGTATGTATCAGGTTAGGAGTGGGCGAGAAATATAAATTAAATATAAGTAAAGTCGATTAGAATCTATGGATTAGATGAGATCATGAAGACGATACACAATAGGTCATATTAAGCATGCTATGACTGATAGATGATGAAGGAAGGGGGTGATTGATGATCTATGGAGAAACTGGATATCGATACCCACGTAAAATAGCGAATAAACTGACAAACAAAGATCTCAGTCTGAACTGACAAACAGCACAGCAGGCAACAGGGGTGGTGTCCTAACAGGTTATATTGTGGATAGTGAAGACTGTGGGGAGAGAAAGAAGGCGAGAGAGAGACTGTAAGTCTCCTACGGAGATCGTCAGATGACTGGTAGCATTCAACAGATCGTGAACCTCATTCTTAATTCCAACGTATATTTGAATGAACGTTCTTTAATAATAAAAAAAGTGATCATCTGCGTACACAGAGCTCAGTCATATGTGCTTTTCCACTATGATAGTGTCACTGTTAATGCGGGTTCTGGTGATGAAATTATTCTATCGAGAATGAATGACAACTCCCTTTAAGCCCGCAAAGTACTTTGTTGAAATGTATGTACCAGCGCTCGTTGAACGTTCCGCTAAGCTACGGGGCTGGGCTGGCATGCCTGGACCTTAACTTCCTTTTAACCTTGCTTTTTTTTACTATTCTAGTAATCTGATTAGCTGGAACAGGGCTTCTCAGCCGAATGAGGCAATAATGAAGCTATTCAGAGTATGGTCCGCTTTTTCACATACCTCTTCAAGCCATCCTACCCTGTTTCATCCCCACTGAAGCTATTCCAGGATTCTCTCGTATAGTTCCTTCCATTCTATTCTCCCGTCCCCTTCCTTATCTCTTCACTACTGACGCTATTCCAGGCTGCTTTTATGAAGAGGAATACGAGCCTAATTTTATACAAGTAGTATTAAGCAAAGGGAAGGAAGATCAACATTTTTTTCTTCAAGGGCAAATTGCTTCTATCAATTATTATAGCGCATTTACACTGATGGTGGCATACTCAACCTTCAAGTCCGATAGCCCCTTCAGTACCACCTGCTCCGTAACCTTTTTACTCGGTACTTGGACTCTCTCTATAACCTGTCTAATCATATCGGCAATCTTGTTCGAAACCTCCGTGGAACGAGGGATATCATGCCCGCCACCATGATCAAACTCCACAGTGTCATCACAGAATTCCGCCAACTGAATACCAGCCGGCCACCTGGGATCCTTCGAACCATATATATTCACAGTGGGGATTTTGATGCGTGCATTCTCTGGAAACTTGGTGAAATCAAGTCCAAAGACATCGCTACGCTCCGGCCTAAACTCAGGGTTATGCAGATTGCGATCTGCAGCGTATTCCCACAGCCCCAAACCACGATTGATCAAATACAGATTCTCAGCTAGCACTGCCAACCGCCCAGCTGTCTCATTCAGCAAGGCTCCCGTATACCGATTGACTTCATGCGCGCGAGGCGAAACCTCTAGACCCATATCTTCGAGAGCTGGTAAGGGGACGCCACCACATATGAAGATGGCTGCACGGAATGGGAGCGGTTCCAGATCGGGCTGATCGCTGTTCATGGCATGGTAGAGTGCCATAGTTGCAGTGAGGGAACATCCCTGCGAGAAGCAGCAGAAAGCATCATAGGGTCCGTTTTCGCGAGCATAGTCGGATACCCATTTGTGGGCGAAACGGATTGACTCGGGCGTGCCCTGAGGCCACCATGTGTATGTTTGAGTCTTGTAGATGATGCTTATTGCGGGTGCGCCCTGGCTAGTGAATGGGGCGTTGATGAACTCGAAGACATAACTATCATCGAGCTTGGACCGAAACGCGGCCGTTTGGGATTTGAAGATTGAGGCACTGGTTCCGTGCCCGTGGAGACAAAGGATACGAGGCATGGCGTTGATGAAACACCTGTGGTGGATGTGTTCTGATGGGAATAATTGTGTATTGTATAGCTCTTAGCAAGGGGCTAGACTCAACCTAGTAATTATCCAAGTAGTGCATTCCCGGTGCTATGGTTACTCTTACTACGGAGTAGTAGTATGTCAAGATCCCCCATAGACCCGATCGGTTCCCGAGATCGTCGCTTTTCATATTCGGCACCCGAGTCAAGTCCTTGTATTTTTACGATATATTCATTTATCTTGTTTTCTCTGTTTTTTTTTTTCGCAAATACAGTCATCTCCAATCCAGAAATATGGCTCAGCCAACGGCAACCACTGTTCTCTTATCTCCAGAGACCAATCCAGGCTATGTTCATGTTAATGGTCTGACAAGAGAGAGCGCAAAGCTTGTATCCGAATTACTCACAAAGAATCACATTTTGTACAAGACACGATGGAAACACACCCTTCACAGTAGGTTCTCAATATACATCCAGATAAATTTCCAAATCTACATCATGTAGGGTGGAAGGCTAGAAGGCTAACGTGGATACAGATCATCTCACTCACCACCTCCTTGCCATGTGGGCGCTGGGAGCGACCCCATCTGAGATCCAGGACATGTGGGATTATAACACGCCTTATCAAGATGACATGAACCCCGGGTACCCAGAGGCATCTTCCAAGCATGGTCTCTATAATCCAGAAGTTTTCCAAATGTGTCTAGGTATCGATGACTGCTACCCCGATTTCCTCAAGTTCTTCGAGGAAGAAATCAGCAGTAAGGGAATGCAGGAAGTGGTCAAGGAATATCTGTTCAAGGGAGATGAGCGAGCGAATGACATCCTGGGCCGCATGTTTGCGGGTGAGTCGGCATACCCAACCCGTACGACGATAAGACGTTCACTAAATCACAGTCCACTCGCCAAGATCTCGTCCATCCGATAATTCACCTTGGGTGCGGCATTGAATTCAAGCAGCCGAGTCTCGTCGCAGAAGCGTTAGCCGGAGCCTGTGTGCATGAGAACTGGCCCAAAAGCTTCCTCCTCCCCACAGAAGATTACGTGCGTGCAAACCCGGGGATACCGTCTAAGTCGATGCTCCAAGTTCTGGATTCCCTCCAGGCGGATAGCGATATCTCGAAAGGAACACGAGAGGACGATCCTTTCAATAAGATCCCAGACGGTTTCCTCAAGCGCGTCACACCAGCACAGCTAGTACCCTACCTCAGCCAGTTCCAGGTCAAGCCCGAGGCCGAGGACCTGAAGCTCAAACTATCAGACATGATGCACACTTCTGCATACATGCTCGGAGCTGCCCAGCGCCCAGGCAAACGCGAAGCCATGGACTTTGTGACCCTTCACGCGGCTACACTAGCGGCATTCTTCCCGGCACTCATGGCGCAGGACTGGTTGTCCAACGAGGACAAAGCGAGACTGCTCGAAGCGACGGTACGTGTCGATGCCGTTATGTATGCTGGTACAGCGTGTCCACCCTTGTATGCCGACAGAGTGATCAACTACATCCCACAACACCCGACGCATGAATGGTCTGAGCTGTTTCACCGTGCAAACGTGTACCGTGACGAGGGCCATGCTGTCAAGTTGCTTCGCGCTCTATATGCCCTGGAACCGTTGGAGCTTGGGCCAGATTTTCCGATCGCCAAGAGTGATTTCTTCAACATTGCGCATATGGGAATTGATTCCATTGAGCGGGCAATGGAGGAAGGTGGCAACCATGTGCCGAAGGAGGTCGCAGCAGGGGTGCTTCAAAGGGTTGGTCGTGGAGGTGAAATGGTGGTCGGGAACATGACCCGGTGGGTGTTCTATGGCGGGTTGCCCAACGCTTGGAGACATGTACCTGCCATATAAGATTTTTAAATCTGCAGTTAAGCACTTTTTGAATTCTAAACGAAGCTTGTTTTGTTGCGAAATGTGTGTTGGTAGGATGAAGGAAAATTAGCGAGATTGTCATTAAACTGCAATAATGGGGTTGTGTCCTGGTAAATACTGCTGAAGAGAGATAGTGAATATAATTGGAATCTAATTCTAAGCAAGAAACAGAAACAAAAAGACAAGAAGAATGAGAAACTCTCTGGTCAAAACAAAGATCAGGGCTCTTGTGGTCACATGATCATGCTTTACCAAGGCACAGTCCGACCGAGGTAGTCGAGGTATTCAAGTCCGGGTCGTTCTCTCTTTGCAAGGAGCACATTCACCAAGCTCGGAATGCTTTCTTCGATGGTAAGCCGAGCCTCCGGACCTCCCAACTCAGTTTTGACCCACCCTGGAGCCATCACCACCATTGGACGCCATGGGATTTGACGAGCTGCAAAGCTTCGCATGTACATGTTCAGCGCAGCTTTAGTACCGCGGTATACCTCTCGCTGGCCTGTTTCGTTGTTGCTGATGCTTCCCTGTCCAGAAGACATCACACCGATTAGACCCTGAGGGGCCACATGATGTGCCAGACTTTCAACAACACGCATGGGGCTGAGCGCATTTGTGACCATGACATGTACAAACTCCTCGGTTGATACATCTCCGATTGTTTGGGTTTGGACACGATTTGTTGTTCCGGCGTTCACAAAGAGCATGTCGAATATCTTGCCCGACAAACGCTTATTCAGCGCCTGGATTTCATCCGGTTTGCAGATGTCCAGGGTCTCAATGTCAACACGCCCGGTGTATTTGTCCGCTAACTCGTGGAGTAATGTTCGCGACTCTCCGCGGACTGTCCCAACAACGTTCCATCCCTTTTCTAGGAATTCGGCTGCCATGGCGTGGCCAAGGCCACGCGAAGCGCCGATAAGAAGGATCGTGGGGTGTGAAGCGGACATGGTAACTAGATATTTCAGAGTTGATCAATATTGTGCGGGTTTGGTACCTTTTGTACCCAACAGAGTTGGCTCGGCATTTTCTAGTTATCTCCGAGCCGAATTTCTCTAGAGAAGCCGCTGATGCTTGCATTAGGTTTCCTCCACAACTACTTTTCCTTCCTACATGTAGTCCATTCCCCTTTCTGGAAATTCGCGTCAGGATCTACACAACCCGTGCCTAAACGTATGGCGGCTTACGACGTCTTGAATTTCAGCATCGATGGCCCTGGGGGAATACTTAAAATACCCAAGGGATCTGCACGGGCCCACTGATAGGCGCATCAAGCTCACTAGTGCAGTGGAGCCCGGGCATCTAACGTCTGGCCCGATTGGCTACGCGTCCTCGTTTCTTTTTCTTTGGCCTTTTCCCCTTCACGGATTACATATTGGTCACATTCTTTGATGGCCCTAACCTTGTCTCGCCTGGCATGTCCACCTTGGCATCTTCTTACTCGGCTTTGCTGTCCTGGGAAATAGCATATTCCCCGAGGGACCCATACGCACAATATGCCCAGATATAAGCATAGTGGCATCCGCCCAGCTCTACTGTGCACTAATCTCCATTAAAATTGGCTGGAATAATGCCGGGTGATGAGAAGGACTATGGCGCGGCCATCAACAACCTCAACCGCGATGTTGAAATGTCTGGCACAGAGGCTGCCCCCTCTCAGCCCATTAAATCCCTAGGGGAAGTGGAATCACAAGCGAGCACTATCCAACCAGGAGCCGTTGTCGTTCCTCGCTCAGAGCGCCGAGGTCTGCTAGGTCGGTTCTCAGTCATTCCTGAGATCACCTCCCCACGGGACTATGGCAATGGAACGAAATGGGCGATGACAGTGATCGTCAGTTTTGCTGCTGTTACATCATCCACGGGCTCATCTATCTTCTACCGTTAGTACTATTGTTTGTTATCCATATTAGTCCCATATTGACCAAATTACAGCGGCCCTGGCTGAGGTAGCGGACGACCTAGATACGACCCCGACTGTTGCTAACCTGTCACTGGCGCTATACTTGCTCGCTATGGCTTTCACCCCTATCTGGTGGTAAGTAGAACTGCAAACATTCATCGCCCAGTGAAATCGAGTGTTACAAGTGCTATGTTAACAACGGAGTATAGGTCTGCTCTGTCCGAGAAGCATGGACGGCGAACGATCTACCTCCTCTCTTTTTCCCTCTTCCTGGTTTTCTCTTGCATCAGTGCCGTTAGTGTCAACATCACAATGCTGATTGTTTTCCGAGTCCTCAGTGGCGGAGCCGCAGCTTCTGTCCAGTCTGTGGGGGCGGGAACCGTTGCCGATATCTGGGATCCGAAAGTGCGTGGCAAAGCCATGGGAGTCTTCCAGCTCGGTCCTCTCTGTGGACCTGGCCTGGCGCCCGTGATTGGTGGTGCTTTGACTCAGGGTCTCGGCTGGCGAAGTACCCTCTGGTTCCTCACCATTTTTGGCGGTGTGATGCTGGTGCTTATTTTCCTATGTTTGCCGGAGACTATTGCAAAGCGTGAGCCAAAGCCGAAGACCGAAGATCAGATCAACACGAACATCGTTGTCAAGATATTCATGGCCGTCTTTGGTCCTTTCAAGGCGCTGGCCTTGCTCCGCTTCCAGCCCGTCATCGTTGTAATCTGGTCCGGTGTCATCGCCTTCTTCACCATGTACATCATGAACGTCTCGATCCAAGCTGTTTTTGAGAAGCCTCCCTACAACTTCACCATTCTGGAGGTGGGTCTTGTATACCTGGCACCGACAATCGGGTACGCCATCTCGTCGATTTTTGGTGGTCGCTGGATCGACTACATCATGGTTCGTGAGGCGACTAAGGCCAATCGATACGATGAGAACGGAAAGCTCAAGTACTTCCCCGAGGACCGGATGAGAGAGAATATCTGGGTGGCTTTGACACTATACCCAGGCGCGTTGATTTGGTATGGCTGGACCGCTGAAAAAGGTATCCAGTGGGCGGTCCCCTGTGTCGCCTCTATATTCTTTGGACTCGGCATGATGCTGGTCATGGGCACTGTGCAGACCGCTCTGACGGAGTTCACTCCGAAGAAAGCATCTAGCGGTGTCGCCGTGGCAAACTTTGTCCGAAATGTCCTCGCATGTACGGGAGCTGTCGTCACTCAACCCATGCTCGACGGTATCGGCAATGGATGGATGTGTACTATGATTGGTCTGATCGCATTCGTGACGGGTATTCTGGCCATTCTTTCTCTCCGCATCTGGGGTCCCCAGTGGCGAGTACTGATGGACCGAAAGTTGAATGCCCCAAAGCCGTAGATATTTGTGTTTGATCCTTGCCTAGGTGGCGAGAGGCTAGCCTCTGTTATTCTCGGGTCAGATTTGATTCTATTAATATGTATTGCTGCACATAGAGTCGATATTTCTATTTACTCGACTCAAAATTACTCCAAGGGTCTATACTATAGTTGTCAAATTAGGCGATGAAGTTATCATTTTGCAAAATACACTGCTCCGTTAGCGAGCAATGACCATAAAAGGACTATTTAAGGTCGAAGCACTGAGGTCTTCTATAATTTACGCTTACCTAGCCATATAGCTGGACTCCCAGACTTGCCCAAATACTCCATTTCAGCTATAGCCTATGCTCCAATAATACCATAACAGTGACCATTTAACATTGTCAAATTGCTTGACCAATCATGGGCCATCGTTGGTTGCCGATTCCACCTGATCAGCGTAAGGGAGAAACCCCGATGCGATATGTAGAAAATGGAAACACCGAAATAAGACATCTTTGCTTGCAGCTTCTCCTTATTGTCTCCGTTAACCCCGAGAAACAGAATTACTCCTTTTGACATCTTCATGGACCAGATATCCCGTTGGGGTGCCATTACATTGTTCACTACATTTCTCTTCATGCTGCCCGGACTACACAGATTGCTCTCTTCCTACAACCATCCAAATTCCCTTGATATCCCAGTCCTAGGAATAATGAGTCATTGGAGCAACAATTCCTGGAACCCACGCTGGGAAGCCGTGGACACATATGCCATTTCGCACGGACATCCAGACACCCGACCCAATGCCCAAACGCTACAAGATACAATCTCAGCATCCAATAGAGCCGGACTACCAAGCCACGCACTGTCAGCGGCACAGGCCAAGTTCCTCTCGCTGCACTGTCGTACCGCCAATGTGACGCATGCACTTGAGATTGGCACACTAGGCGGCTACTCCGCCATCTGGATGGCTAGTCAGAATCCACAGCTGCACCTGACAACAATCGAGTACGATGAGCACCACTACAAGACGGCCAAGAGAAACATCGATCGTTCAAAGCTGTCGGATCGTATCGAGGTCATTAACGGTGCTGCGCTTGATGTCCTCGGTCGTTTGCGTGAAGAGGTTGATTCAGGGAGGCGGCCGCCGTTTGGTTTTACTTTTATCGACGCCGATAAGGTAAATAACTGGAAGTATTTCCTGATGGCGAAAGATATGTCCAAGCCGAACTCTGTTATCTGTGTTGATAATATTGTGCGCGATGGACATCTGGTCAGCTTTAACGATAATGACTCGTATCTGAGAGGTTGTCGAGAGGTTGTCGAGAAGGCTGGCAAGGAACCTGGTGTGGATTCTGTTGTGCTACAAACTGTTGGTGAGAAAGGATATGATGGCTGGCTATGGGCTGTGATCAATTAAGCCGGGAACGGCTTTCTATGAGGTTGTAAATGCTTTATGGGTCAAGTCCATCGGTTTAAATTGTTTAGTACGAATAGCATTGTAAGTGTCGACTATATATACACCTTTAACAACTCCAAATAACATGAACTCTCTAGTCCTTCTTGGGTCCATGACCCATCACCTCAAAGTCACCCTCAATCCACATCTTCCTCATCTTGTAAAACTTGATCTTCCACAATCCCTCAGACTCAACCTTGACTATATCAAGGTAATAGGTGCCGCCGGTCCAAAACCAAGGCGCTTTCGGGTCAATTCCCGTACCAAGACGGTAGTGCTTCGCATTATACAAGCACGAGAGGCTTGCCTCCGTTCCACTCTCAGCAACATTGATGCGAACGCTGGTGACATAGTGGGTGGTGTCGAGATGGATGATGGTTTTGTCAAAGCACTCGGTGTGAACTTCCTTCAGACTGTTCATCTGTCGACCGAACAGATCCCATTTCACGTCCTCGGTGAAGGCCGAATCGAAAAGCTCGGCATCGTTGGTGTCCATGCCGAGCATGAACCGGTGGAGGGCATCAGCAATGGCTTCTCGTGTGTCAAGTGCCGGTGTTAGAACTGCTGGGAGGGCCATAGTCCTATCATAGGCTGCCATAGCTGCATCTGCCATGTTGAGAATTTTGGATTTGGAGAAGGAATTTGGGGTTCAAAGGTTCAATGTTTAAGTGGCCGCGATCGAGACTTGCATGAGTCGCGCTTCTAATAAAATATGTCAACTCGATTTTTTTTTCATTCTTTTCCTGAAAGTTTGATCCCCGAGGTAATTCCGTCTAAGGGGTCGGTGTCCGAATCCCCAAGTGTGGAAGTGGATATTCCGGCCATTCGGGGAGTTAGAGTCTTTTTGGTTGCAAGAGCCTATTCACATCTGAAGTGAAGGTCAGAATCATGTCTCTCTTAAGTGTAACTACCCGAACAGGGTCCCGAGGCTCACAAGAGGTAGAATATACAAATTGGTTTCTAGGATCGAGTCCTTCACTGATGTTGGGTCTTTGCAATTAAATTCCTTTTGTCCCTGTCTTTGGCTCTATGTGATTGAACAGTGGTGAGGTTGATGAGGCACAACTTCCTGAGAGCCTATCCCCTAGTTCATTAATGTCACCTGAAGTTTTTAACTTGGAAGTGCATTCTTCTTCCAATGTCCCTTTCTCGACTACTCTGGGCGGATAGAAATGTCAAGCCTACTATTATACCTAGAAGAACCTTTTTAAACGACCTTTGAAGTATTTCGTTGTGATTTCAACCCTGCTGTTTGTTATGCTGTCTGCTAATTTGCTAGTTTGATTACTAGATTTACAGGAGTATAAATAACCTATCCCTTCACATATTGCACAACACAGATCTCTCCTCCTCCATCTTCATCTCTCTCACTGCAAGCTCAGCGTACTTTATTAAGAGAGTCAAGCGCTCAATGTAATATTCGAACCTATAATAAGCGTCGCAAAACAGTCATTTACCTAGGAATATAGTCTTTTATTTATATACTACCCGGGCATTCCTACCGATCTTGACAATGACACGGATATGCTCGCCGTGCTGCCGGATATAGTATAACGGACGGTAAAGATAACGACGGCGATCTAGTCATGTTTTCGAAGCCCGAGAGGTCTAAAACTCCAATCGACCAGGCCTCTCTAGGCAGGTGATGCCAAGGACAGTAACTAAAGGAGTGGTAAACCACAATGGAAGAAAGCAGAAAAGGCTGAGTTTGTGAGCTGAGACAGCACTCTACGGCCTACGTGATTCCCCGGCGGAGCCAAATGGACTGCCAAAAGTCATGGGTGGTTATAACAACTAGATCCAGCGTACAATGAACATGGATGCTAGACTTCTAGAGAAGCTCTAGCCATACCGGGTAGAGACTACTAACAATATCTACAACAAATGAAACGTTTACTAATTGATCCAAGCCCAAATCACGGGGGTATCCAAGGGGTGAACCGCCCGATCCTTGAGAGTATTTCGGTGCCAACAACTGGAGGCGAGCCTACAAAGCTTCTACTAAAGTCAGGGGGGCCTAAGGGCTAGGAAAATAACACAAAGCAGCCGGCCGAACACGAACGCGAACAGAAAATCGAGGCGTCCCTCTTCACGAACACCACAAGACGAAGAAAGCTCGGAAGAGGGAGTTAGCCTACGTGGATGAGGACCTAGGTAAATCCAATTGGGAGGAGATGATTGAGACCGAACCTCGTCGCCTACCGGATGAGGAAATTATCGCATCTGGGTCAAAGTACGAGGCTTCACATTCTCCCCTGGAACCAGGTCGATGGGATAAAAGGTCCCCTTGCAACGAGCAATGGAGTACTCATACGTATGGATTAGTAGTGGTCGGTAGGGTTCAATCAATCAAAGTTCAATTAACCTCTTGCAGTCTAACTAGTTGAGTATGACTATCCAGGCGCTTCATTTAGAAGCAAGAACTCGAATCCAAACAGGGAGTAGTTGGGATTGCTCCGCAGAGTATACAGATGCCGATCGTAAAGAGTGCGGAATCAGCCCATTCCTGAAACCCGTAAACCCATAAGAAATTAACGTAAATGGATTGTTGTAGATTGCACCCTTCACCTTCGCTCTCTCTCTTCTCTCATTTGCCATCCTTGTTTGTTACGTGGGAAGGAGAGAAAAGTATCTGCATGAACGTCTTTCTTGTATCAAATCCTTCTCCAATTTTCCCACATCAAATAATCGCCCGTAGCTTGAGCCTACCGTAACGACTTTCGATAACTAGGTAGGTAGGGCGGGTATCAAAACGGCCTCTGACGATGGAACATCGCGATGTCATCAAAGGCAACACGGAGCGCATAGTGCAAGCACACATCCGTAAGGCAGAAGGCAAACGAGCGAAGACCTGACTAAGGATTGCCCTAGGGAACTGCACTCGTAGACAGCCAAGTAAAGATGGACTATCACCCTCATTATCGTGAGCATGATCGGGAATTGCCACTTGCTGCGACATTATCTCAACGTCAAATTTCGGTTGACTGAATGCTAATGATTGATGATCCGCTAGCTGTATGTCTATGTGTGCCTGACATTGAAGAGGTTGTTGTATGGTGTTGTGGAGTTGTAGGAGCAGGTGTCGCTCTGGAAGACTTGAGGTGGGATGAACTCCTCATCATGCCCTGACTGTGAGACGGCACAGCGCTGTGAGTGCCGAGCTGAAGCCATTGGTGTAGATGGGACCTGAATGTTGCAACATGCCGATGTAGACTTGAATGTCGAGAGGTGCTGAAGCCATATGGAGAGATGTGGCTTGGTCTGGCGTGAAGCAGTTTCAAGCAGAGATGGTGGTAGTCCAGCCACCCCCATTGTTCAAGTTCGACAATGTGACTATGGGAAAGAAGCCTTGCCCTTTTCTTTCCCCTAGCCAAAGTAGCTGTTCTCTTACGGCCAAGACATGCTCCAGGCATATATGTCGTTATTCTTTGCTGTTGCTTTTCTCTCCCATGGTAACACCAATGAGTATCTAGAGCCCTCATTTCTTGGAGTTGTGAATCAGCGGCGCGATCAGGCTTGACGAGGCGACAACGGTGACACTGTCAAAACCAGGGTTAACAGAGTACTGGCAAGGAACTTCAATGATAACCTTACCAAGGAACAAAGCGTGAAGGGAATGACGAGATACGGGGAAGAGAAGAGATATGACTTGAATTGAATTGGTATTTGGATAAAGTGTCAGTTTGTAGGAATAGATCGAGTAGGGACAGCTCTGGCTCAGATCTTTCCCTCGTACATGTACACCTCGGGGTAGTACGCGCGAGAAATTACCTCACGGGCGAAGGGAGGCAGATCATGGGCGAAATAGAGATATTTAGGTAGCCGGTATCACGCAGAGGGCAGAGAAGCGGCAGTAAGGGCGAGTCATGATGAAATCCCCAGAGTTGCAACCTTAGGACGCCTGGTACTCGTGATTATTACAAGTAGGAAAGCCCCTGCTGACAATTCCACCAATGGTTTCCAGTCAAGAGCTTTATAGTCTCGCGTGTAAAGCCAGGACCAGATACTATCAGTGACTTAGGTCAACAGTCAGTATAATCTTTTTTTCTAACCTCACTGCTCCCAAGCACAATGCTGCTTGATATGTCTTCAATGGAATCGGATGCTGATACCATGCATACCCTGCTGTCGCATCAAGGAATCGAACCAATCGTGTAGTGGAAGGCTAGCGTAAGCAACCCCCTCCAGGGATTGTGAACCCATTGCTGTCTGTTCTCAACATTTGGCACATCGCGGATGAGCTTGGCCATTGCCACAATAGTCTAATATATATGTGATGTGGGGCAATGCAGGTGAGGTTGTGTAATGTGGGTCGAGAAAGATGGGAGGGAGGGCGTCACGGAGGACATGACGCGCGTAGCTAAGCCATTGTGATGCAGTCCTAATAGAATCGCTGTCAGCATACTATGACAGGTGTAGCTTGTACCGATCCTGGGTGCTTGAGTCTAACTCACTCGAGCGAAGTTGACAGGAGAAATAAGAGCATCTGATAGTCAAGCTCTCCCGTTTATATATCCTTAGGCTTCTTAAACAGAGTGTCAGTAGATATCAGCTTCTGTATTACGACCAAGTGAGGATCACATATCTCGCGGCAACGCTGCTCCATCCAGAAGGGCATATCTGTGTCTCTACCCTTTGTCGAGTGACTCATAGGTTGAACTATCCATAGCTCCAAAGCTATACCCCAATATAAAATATGAGTAGCAGCATATCGGCAGGCCGGCTATAACGGTGATGGTATCTTTCGAAAATAGGTTATAAAATTAAGGAATATATTTGGAGGAGGAAAGAACCTGAGGGATAGTAAGAAAGAGAAGGGAATATGAAAGTGAAGAGGAGGAGGGGTGTAGGAGAGGGACAGAGAAGAAAGAGAGAAAGGAAAAGAAGATAAGAACTTCTATGAACAAAGCCCAAGGCAAACAGACCCTACCACAGCGAAAGTGACATATTGGTAAAACAAT